TTTAAGTTAATAAGTTTTTAGAAAATATGTTGCAAGTTATTTAATTTTATATTAAATAACGTGCAACATAATTTAATTTCGTTTTTTTTTAAATATTTTATTTTATATCATAGATTTAAGACTATATGTAATTAAAGAAATAAGGATGTATAATAAATTCAATTTTAATTATTTAAAACGAATAGTTGTGTATAAAATACTAATAGAAAATACGGTAATATCTAGTAAAGTAGTTCTTGATATAATAATTCTATGCATTGTTTAGTTTTATTGTTCTCATAGTCCACAATAATAGTCCAATTTCATACTTTTGAAATGATCACGGCAAATGATTAATTAATTAAGGGCAAAATGTAAACTTTTCTTTATTGATATCGAACTTATTGGTTACGCCATCATTTCTATTGCGTCATTACACCTATGAATGTGTTATACTTTTATGTTGTTTATAATATCATTGACCTCAAAACACTTTAAGTATGTAAATATGTAACTTTTTTAATGCTATTTGAAAAGAAAATACACGATACATTAGAATAAATTCGGTATACTACGAGTAGTATCATCCAATCCATACTATACAAATTGTTAAGAAGACTGAATATTTTCTTATGTTATTTAGAATAATCTCTGTCGGAATTTACATAACGTAAATTAATAACATCAAGTAATGCTTAATGTAAACAACAATCGGTTTTGTTTCGCAAGGTTTCTAAGCTCACATCTAAGCTAGGCCCCGCCCGGCGACGCGCGCGGCCAATAGCGCAGGGGGGCGGGGCGCGCGCCGAGAAAATCTAAGTTCCAACGCTCTCAACTAAACAACTCTTAAACTACGTATTTAACTAAAATCTTTAGGCAACATTGTTAGTTAACAAGTATATAAAAGTTCGTCTAAAGTAAAATGAATACAACGCCTTAATGCAGCGATTAATTCGCAGGCAACAGTCGTGATACATAACGAGCCAACGTAATGCGACACATTAAGAAACCCCACATTTGCCTGCATTAATACTCAAAAGACATTTTTCAGCGCATCCTGAGGCGGCGCAAGACGAGCTGCAATTAGCGTACAGTGGCGGTGTGCGGTGCGAGGCGCGGGCCACCTGTCAAGTGGCCGTTTCATCAAATCATTTCTTTATTGCGCAGCCTCCCGACCTGCTCTTTTTTGTGAGCGTTTTGAAAAAAGAACGTTATCGCGGATGAGTCGGGTAGGTCGGGGCGCGCGAGCCTCATTTCAGTCAGGTGCCAGGCGCCGAACACTAAACAACGTGCGGGCACGCGAGCCGACCCCATACAGCCTTCTTACGTCGACTACGACACAACTTGCAGCTTTTTGAAATACGTTTTCGAAAGCGCTACATGTAAAATGTAAATATATCACGCGATTGGAATTGATTAATAAATTTTGTTGTGATCACCGGCCAGTGATTTAGTGTAATCTTTTGTGCTGAGATTTTCCGCCCAAGGTAAGATCCGTCTCATTGTGAATAATATTTTTAAGTAGTTTATCAATATTAATTTATTTTTTTACCCTTATACAAAATTGATTCAAGTTGGTCTGTTGATTACAAAATTTTATTTTAAGAATACATATATCATATAATTTGAATTAAAAATCACCAACAAACACACTTCGTTGAAAAGTTTATTATTATGAAAATTTAATACGATATTATTACAAGCTTTTACTAATTTACTTTTAATAAACTTTTAGGTAAACTAATTATTTTGTAGTATTGGTTTCTGTTAAGTTGCATCACATTATTAAGACAATCACACGAATATTGATTTTCTAAAAGAAACTGGAATAGCGGTTGTTATGTTTAATAAATAAACCTTTACTAATATAATCGAGTAATCCAATTTTTTATATATTATAAATACAATCAGATTGTAACATGTATAAGCAAAGGCATAATTATATTTAATTATCCAAAAAAGTAAAAACAATTAATCTTTGCCTGCAGCATATACATTGCTAGAAATTGACTTTAAAACAGTACAATTTCCTTATACCTATATAGGAATAAATTCCAACTTGATACCTTCACGCATTTTTGAGAAAAAGGGTATTGACAGACGGACGGACGGACAACAAAGTAATCCTATAAAAGTTCCGTTTTTTTCCTATGAGGTACGGAATCCTAAAAAATAATTTACTTTGGAACAAATAAAATATGTATTTGTAAGTACAACATTTTAGACGATTCGTTGCTCGTTTGCTCCCTTTTCCTATAAAAAAACAAAAACATGCATTTTTCGACCTTGAAATTGAATGAACAACGTAGACATTACAAATATTTGGAAAACTTTTCATGAAAAGCAATACAAACATATAAATGAACATCTGTATTATTACAATGATTAATTTTAAATAATTTCCTACAAATAAACAAATACAAGAAAATCAACTTTTATACAACCTCGTTCGCTTTAGATAACGAACGAAAAAATTAAGACCGTATACATAATGCGAAATTTAAAATTCAAAATTAAATGGATTTGATTATAAGCTAACCGTGAGTTTCCACTGTTGTCACAATAAAATATTGTTATCTCAATTTTCTCAAGGTGAATGAAAAGAACAACAATACGTTTTTGAATAAATGTTCCAGCAATGAGAACCTAATGTCAGTGAGTCAATGTATTAGTATGTTCTAGCGGTTGCCTACGACTTCGTCAGCGCAGGTACAAAAGAATCCTATAATATTTTCACATCATCAACTACCTTCCCGACAGAGTGTCATCAAAACTGCTTTAGCATTTTCGGAGATTACCCGGAACAAACGCGGATTTGTAAACAGACCGGCAAAAAGTTTAAAAATTAGAATTTCGTTATCAGCAACGCAAATACATCTTGTTTACGAAATATGATCTGTTTTCGATACTACATACGGACAGTTGAATTTTATTAATTGTATAGATTTACAGTATACAGGAAGACCAAAAAAAGTATGGAATGACTGTGTGAAAGAGGATATGCGTAAGAAGGGGGTAGACTCGGATATGACGGCTGATAGAGATGTATGGAGTAGTAGTACATGCTGTGCCGACCCTCGATAGGGATAAGGGCAGGTTGATGATGTATAGATTTACAGTATAATTAATGTAATTTCTTAAAATTTTAAATATGTCACCAAACTTGTTTGATTACTTTTTATATCAATAATTTTAATACTTAAAAAAAATTAAAAACATTTTGAAGTTCCGGTTTACAATAACGAAGGTCTGAAAATAAGCTCTTGCGATTCTACTACTGTTTTCTTTTGTTTAGTTCAACATGCTTCATTGAGGCATTTTAATTATCCTAAGTTTTTATTATTCTTGGGTTTTTGAAATCAAAATCCGCGTTTAAAACATATTGTTTTAAACAGATTTTGATCTTCCAACCAAAATCTGTATAAAACATATCGTCATCCCTGTCCTTATATTTGATAAAAGCAGAGATAACAATATGTTAATAGTAATAGAGAGATTTTGGTTTCAAAAACTCACGGTTAAAAGGTGTACATTAACAAGTGTTCAAATGAATAATAAAAATAAGTGTAACATCAAATAAAAAGTCAATAACGATTTCGCACTGTTTGATTTCTTCGAGTAAACACTTGTTCTGATTCCCATCGCGCGATATAAAAAAATAGGTGGCGATGGTGGCCTGGTAATTGCCGTGCGGCGAGCTAATAAAGACTTGCTTTATTGAAACAAGAAATTGCGACACTCAACCCCCGCATAAGCCGGTTCGTTACTCAATTAGTCGTAATAGCGCAATTGCATTCACCTGTTTCTTGTACATTGGCAGAATCATCATTAGCGCTATGCAAAATTCATGTTAACTATAGCTTTGTACGTAAACTTATATGTCACATCGTATTTCTATGTTAGTGTAAAATGAAAAAGTTCGCAGTTAAAGTAAATTATGAAGAAACTGGTGAAATAGGAAAGTACGTTCATAATGTAATTCCATCCGCAAAATGTCATCTTCTATGACTATTTTACAATTATTCCACCCGTACGTAAAAAAGAAACAATATGATATATTCATCTCTGTCTCTTTAAACATATTACGTGGGATGAAAATATGTTTTTCGTCAAATGTTTCAACAGTGGAAATTCACAACTATACGTCGTAAAAGCTCATCGGAAAAACTTATATATTTTATTTATAAATATAATCACTTCAGACAACTATCATATAAAATTCGTTTTCTAAAAAAAATTAAGCCATGGATTATAATGACACAGTCATTATCTGCTACCTCTTAATTCCTAATAACCTCCACACTACAATAACGCAATTAAGAGAATTAGAAAATTTAGCAAATCATTACTTGATCGTAATCTTGTCACGATTTAGTCGCATTTCGTTAGTTTGACATCGTTCACAAATTCATTTCATAACGTAACACGTTTTAGACTAATGAAGATTGTTTGAGGGCGTCGTGCATTATTAATGCGCGTACGCAGCGGGCGCCGGCCGTCGGTCGTCGGTCGCTTCCATTATTCTGATTCTTCATTTACTTGATTGAGCTTTTAATGTGATTCGATGTCAACAAACAAGCGACTGGATTAATCAGACCTAGAGAACTGTCAACAAAAAATCATACCGCAATACACTAATGGCAATGGTCACGTCAAATACACAATTTAATACTAATATTTAGGTGAAATAAATCTACGAACATATCACTAATTACATTTACAATGTGTTTACATATAGTATACGGTGTTAACCGATTGGATTATTTGAACACAATACAGTTTTTTTCGATTTCCTGCAATGATAGATAACTTTGAGTCTTTCATATAACGTGGTACCACTTAATTATTCCTTTTGAGATGTAATTTTTAGGACTTTCTTAAAGCTCGCCCTAATAAGCATAATTCTTAGTTTTGCAAGGTAAGATTGGTCCAGATTTAGATTTTATAGTTTTCTTGGTCCCTTTTTTTTGTAGTGTCGATACAAAAATCTTGTAATTATAATCATTATCATTTTCCTTTAGGATGTCACGTCACGTATTGCTATCGCGGCTAGCGGAACAGTTCCAGTCGACATCTCCGCCGCCGGCACAGCGCTTTTCATCTCCCACGCGCAGTCCCTCTCCCCACTCTCCTGTCTCCCCGCACTCTCCTCCACACTCTCCAGACTCCATATCTCACCACCGACTGGACTTGCTCCAACTGGGTGATATCGAAATCGCAGGCAGAGCGCTCAAGCAATACGCTAGAGCAACAGGTAAGGCAACTTTTGATATTCTAACTAAAAGTTAATAAGTGCGTTGATTTAATGGTATGAAGATCTAATTTTTGTTTGTTGTTTCAGAGTTAGGAGCTCTAATGTACTGCAGCGGGCTGGGAGCGCTGTACGGCGGGGCCGGCGTGTGGCCGTTGCTGATGCCGAGGACATCGCCGCAGTACGCCTTGCCGCCGCTCGACCACATGAGGCATACGCCGCCCAGAGATGGTAAGTAACTTACCCATCCTAAATATACATATAATAAATAAGAAACATAGTTTACAATAATACAAAAAATAATTACGATTTAACTAGATAAATTTTGGGCTGGGCTGACATGGCCCGAGACCAATCGCGGAGCCCAAGATAGAGCGAACTGGCGGCGCACTGTGGACGCCCTCCCCACTACGGGGACATAGGACTTTAAGTAGATAAATTTTATAATTAAGTCATATTACAGGAAAACATAGTAAACAATTTTATCAACGAAAAAACGCGAACTTCGTTAAAGTTAGTATATTTTTACAACGAACCGATGCATTTGAAAGAATGCAGTGATCGCAAAAAAGTATTTTTCTTTAAGTAAACTGAAAAAAAATCATACAAATGAACAATCATTATACTCGTATTCACCTCGGCCTCCTTACGACTTCTTCTATACGTGCCTCATTAGAATAGCTATCAGTTTCGTTTGCCGATTAATAACTCGTACCACTGATACCCTGTCGTTTACATGTCGTTTACCTCCACAACCGGAGCACGCTTACATGTTTCCTACGCGCCAAGGAAAAGCACTTCATGCCTACAAAATGAGCTCTCATTGTCATTGTATTCTTTAAGTATTCAAATTAGTGCTTATCCGTGCGAACCAGTTTCGAAGTGACGCCATAGATAGCGCTACAAATGAACATAAATTCCAAAGCATTTTGATTTTTTCAAACAACTTTTTTATAGAATGATAATTTATAACAACTTTTTAATTGATAACAATACACGCACCTATCATGCTATCGTTTTGCTATGTTACTGCCAAATTGAGCAACCTAATGCGTACATAGAGCTAGAGAAAATCAGCTGTTTGTCGGTCAGAAAAAATAATCGATCGATATTTGTCAAACATAAATAGGAACTAAATACCAAAAATGATTTAATGTAAAAAATATCATTACTGAGCATACTAGGAATTTAATTCTGGTGCAAATAATGACGCAACCAGTCGATAAACATTCGCACACCTGTACAGATTTCATAAGTCTTTTCAAAGACGTCCTATTTGACCCGAATGTCTTTAAATTCGACGGCGTCACATAAAGTACGTTAAGGTCAAACATTTACGGTAAATATTTGTTTTAGATGACGAGGAAGAGCTACCACTGAATCTCTCCATGAAAAACCGCCAAATTTGGTCGCCGGGCAGCACCTGCGAACGCGAAAAGGGAGAAATAGGGGAAGAATCACCGAACTATCGATGGGAGAGTAGAGATGATAATGAGACTCCGTTAGAGTTAGTGAAGAGATGTCGCAGCAGCCCCGACGAGTCAGAGAGAGCAGTGAGTGCCGAACGCCGCTGCCCCTCGGCGCCCGACCCCGCTTTCCCACCGCCAGCGCTATCCGGGGACATCAACTTCACCCTGCTACTCAAAAACGAGAACAGAAGCGAAAAATCATTCCAGGTATGTGCCTATAATCTATTTTTATATCACGTCGCCGCCGCAATCGGCCAATAAATAGCGACATCCTTTGACAAGATCGGAATAACTGTACAGTTTCCGTTCGAAATGGTTTAAAATAGCAAACCAGTACCAGCGTTAGTGTTTTTTTACAAATCAAATAGCAAAAACTGCCCTTGTCTTAATAAGTACCGTGGTATCGCGGCAAGTCGCGCGTCCAGCGCGCGCCCGTCTCCCACCGCCCGCCATCCTCAACCCGCAGCTCGTCTCCGCGCCATTTTTATATGTTTCATTTTTATTTGCACCGAGTCATTATAAAAAATCCGCATCGGTTTTAATCAAAATTCCAACTTTTAATATCACGGCGAGGCGGTTTATAATTGGAGGAATAATTACCTTGTGTCATACGACGATAACAGAAGCCATTGCGCCGCTAAATATTTTAAATACATCGCTATATCGGTGCCATTGGCATTTCTTTGTTTCTTAAATTAAGTACCTGTATTAAAATTTAAACCATTAAGCAAAGTTAATAATAAATAAAATCGATTTAAGGTAAACTCCGGGTATTTATTATGTGTATGTATAATATATAAAATTAATTTGTCACCCTGACCGATATAAGAGTCTCAGCTTCAACTTCAAGCTAGCTTCGTAGAGCTTGTAGAAATGTTTTTACATTAATTATGTATTTAGCGGTCTTAGTAGTCGCAGATGGCCTAACGGCCAACCTACTGGAGCGTAACCTACAACGAAATATCGTTTTTTTACTTCGAGAACTGTCGGATAAACTCTACAAATATCTATGAAATAAATTATTGAACCGGTGTTTAATTAGGAGAATTTAGATAAGAGATAACATTAGTTGTACGCTACACGAGTTCCGACCTATTTTCCGTTTGTTTTTATTGGCGGGAAAGCGCGCGCGCTGTGTACGTTGGCGGGAAACGACGCGTGCGCGCCACGCGACTGCGACACCCCGCGCCCGCGCCCTCTACAACGCTCCCATATAATTGCCCGCACCGGACACAACACTTTACGTAATTTATATTCGATAGCTTGATTACTCGTGTTACAAAACTCCGTTCCGAATAAATTATTATGTTACAATTTTAGATTACGGAAGTGTAGACAGATTGTCTTCAATTGTTCAAAGGTTTCACAGATTTGATTCTTTGATTTGGAGTAGTAAATATTTAAAGCTCTCTCTCTCTCTCTCTCTCTCTCTCTCTCTCTCTCTTTATATATATTTAAAGCTATTTGTTAAATTCTTACTTAGGTTATTCAAAAATGAAAATATTGAGAATTAGAATTATGATACATGAGGTAATTTTATTTGACACACATATTTTACACGAATTTCATTCGATGTATTTACATTTTATAGAAGTAGGAGAAAATATTTTACTTTAATCTATACAATTTTCATTCGATAACAAACTACTTGCTAAGCAACTTGCGTACATTGCGTATTCATTATTTAAGCAATTGAAATTGAATTTCGGGTCAATCACCTTTAAAATAACTCGAAAGAAAGGTAACCTAAAAGGTAATAAATAACCCAAAGACTTTTAACTGCACCTTAACTTTTTTCAATTCGACAGACTTTTTAAAAAAAATGTCCGTCTATGCGCGGGGTACAGCCGATAACCATATGTGGACGGTCATGGCCCAGCACCTGTGTTGTTTATAAGAGAGTCCATCGACGTTATAAAAAGACGAAAAAACTGGTAGTTTTTGTTGGGCGCGAGGCGAGGCGATGCGATTCGAGGCAGCTGCCCTGCCAACTGTCACAGGGGCCCGCTACGCGGATTTGTGCCGCGGATTATCATTCGCCGCATATTTAACGACTAACCAGCCGACTAATGGCCTCACAACTTTCTTTTGTAATATGCCAAAAGAAAGTATGACTCAACATATGCATTTTATTTAGAAAACATAAACCACAGTCGCTACTCTATTAATCCATCAATATTATTTTAAAATAAAGTTCACTAGAATTGAATGTATATGTAAGATGCATATTCAGCGTGTGTTAAATGTGTGTTGAATTCTGTATGGTAAAGACAAATCTTAAACTTAGATCCTTCTAGTGTAGTTAGTAACATCTAAACAATGATTTTGTATTTTTCTTGAACAAATAGTTACGACACAAACGACGCGATATTTCAAGTACCGAAAACAACTGAGTAAATAAATCTAAAACTGGTAACTTTTGTCTAATAAGTATGCGTACTTGTGGACGGAATATTAAAGCGAAGGAATAAGAATTTTGTTTACCGAGCACGGAGGTATCTCGTCCAAATGTCGCATTCTCAAACATAATTAAGGATAACCACAATGTAATGCATTAAGTATCATCACTGACAGGGATGGCAAACATTTACGTATCATCGTGCCATTTTTTCTAAAGACAAATTTATTAGGGGTCATATCCGTGCCGTCACATAATTTAGTCTTTCGTAGTGCATAATAAATTTTGTGATCATTGACACGAGAGCCATTGGTTCGCTATCTCTGTCCTAGGCTAAGAAGGCTGTAATTAATTTTCATTAGTTGAATTAAAACGATTAACATTGTCTTGTTTATTATAAAAATATTCGGGTAAATGATTTTTTGAAATTGTTTTCCTACATTTAATACGACAGCATAACTAAATAAATTTATATCGAAAACGAATTGAATACATAATAAAAAACACGCAAAGGAACTTTAAAAACTGTTAAGTCGAATAATGTTTATTTATTTAAATAAATGTATAGTTGTACTTAAAAAGATATAGTTAAAGAAACAAGAATCAATCATAGTTGAAACAAAATAACCGCCCGTTGATCTACTAATTAGTAGACAGAAAAAAGTACAAGGTTTTACGATTATTACGGAATATCAAAGGGACGTGTAGAAAGGGGTTTCCACTTAGTCTGTTATTACAATATTACTGATTGCTAACAGAGGTGATGGACGGTGACAAGTTACTTGGACGGATAATTATATTCAGTATTAATTACCTAGGAATAAAATAACATTGTTAAATAAATAACACAAATATCAATGTAATATTAAGAGTGAATTAGCGTTATACTTACTTACGATTAAGTTAAAATCTTTAGCTGTAGGTTTTTCATTGTGATGACACTTGTATTGACAAATGTTGTCATCCCTATCATTCTTTTTGACAATATAGAGACAATAACATCTACCAATAAATTAGCATCGTAGTCGAAACCTGCAACGCTATTGCGGTTAAAGAAAACCTTATCAAATTATCTAAGTGTTTTCATATTCCTAACGGTTTTATTCCTGGAGTCAAAATAGACCTATAAAAAAACGTTCATAACAATTTTTCTACAAGCATTTTATGTATTTAAATTAACATATTATAATAAAAACGTTGTATATGTCCAGTGCAAGCAGTGTGGAAAATGCTTCAAGCGATCGAGCACGCTGTCAACTCACCTCCTGATCCACTCGGATACTCGGCCGTATCCATGCCAGTACTGCGGGAAACGCTTCCACCAGAAGTCCGATATGAAGAAGCACACATATATACACACAGGTAAACAAAACACAACGAATTGTCCATTATTAAGAATAGTTCTATTTGTGTGGCAAACATTCAAATCTGTTAATCCGTTCGGGAATAACCCGTTAATAAAGGTCCATCTTTTAGATAAACCTTTTTTAACGGGTTATTCTTAATTTTTAATTGAAAGCATTTGCTTGAAGTAAGTTACTCAGCCTTATCTTGACGTATAAAACTTAGTTCAAAGACCTTTTTTTGTTTCTGTTGTTATTTTACAAATATTTTAAACTTCCCACATCTATGCCTATAATTCTTTACAATGTGCCTGTTTGTTTTACTTACATTTTCATTTATTTTTTAAATACAAATAAATTACGACGTGTAGGTAAATAAAAAGATTTATAAAATTAATTAAAAGTCGTTTAGTATAAAGCTACCAATTAGCAAGGAAGCAAGGATTTACTAGTTTCCCCGTATACGCATAATTATAGGTGTACTGTAAAGTTACGTCAATTACCGCTGTAATTAGAGTTCAACGCGTCGTGAAGTTGTTTTTAATTATTTGTAACTAACGTGAAGCTTTAGGTATTTCATTCAAAGGGTTTGAAGTAGGAAATGAAGATTAAAATACTCAATTACATTAAGTTAGTTTTTATTTTGGAAAATGAAAAGCTATTTCGTATGTTAAAATTAAAAGTAATATTTATAAATAACATAGTATCTGTATGAAAGTATGGAGCGTAAAAAAAACTAGTACATCCAAATACAACAGATACCGCAATGTAGCAGGTTAAACATATAAATGGTGTGTAATTATGTTTTCGTCGATGAATCGCGGCCGGTTCGCGCGGTAATGAATTCTCAATGAGCAAAAAACATGAATCGGCTGCAGGATGCCGGACCGCGGCCGCTCGCATCATCTTGTCTGAGGTCGCGATTATAACCATCGTCTCATTATTCGAAACTCATTTTCTTATTTCTTGGCTAAAATTTCAATATCAATGTAAACTACTACCAATAATAGGTAAGCAAGCATAATTACTTAAATACTTATTAGATCGAGAGTTTAAATTGTTAAACTTACTGAAGCAAACAAAAACAGTGTTCGCTACCTCTATTCCTACAAAACAACTTCTGCGCAGTGTTACTTAAAACTAAGAACTGTGATTTTACTTTATTTAAGTACTTCAAATATGTGCGAATAGTTAAAGCAGAGATTTATAAATATTTTGTTGTCTTATTTTATAAATTGACTAGGTCATATGCGACTTAACAAGTAACACATCGAAAACATGTTCTTACGCCGTTCTTTACTGCATCGATTTTATTATTTTTATCGGTCGGGAAGATGAATTCAGGTGAATAAAAAATTTTCGAGTACATATTGTCCGTTGTCTGCGACATCTCGTCACGTATGAGCGTCGCGCCGAATGATTTACTGCGGCCGTACATGGGCCCCGTCCTCCGATAAATGCATCATGATCAATATTCCGAAATGCGGTTCGTCTTGCAATTAGCCGCGCAGCCTTCACAGACCTTCGCGCGGCGATCACTGCACAAACAAAAAGTGCAGTTAAATCCTGTTCTATCTATAAAATTGCGTCGGTGCTTTTTTAAAGTTATTTTATCGACGTCTTGCTGCAGGCATTTGTCAAACTGGTGACAGCTTACGTGAATATTTGCATCGATAATTTTTAATGCCTTTAATGAAAAAATATTAGATTAATTAAAAAAGATCTGAATAAGTTTAAGGCTGGTTTATTTAGCGATATTTGACTTTTAAGAATAAGCGAAGTATTTTTAGTGGACACTATTACTTATTGCGTCATTCTACGAAAAGTATCTTTATGTTGTCTTTTTACGCAGTTTTTAATTTCTAAGTTACATAACCCATAACACAATTTTTTATCTAAACACAATAAAATTTGTTGCAGGCGAGAAACCGCACAAGTGCGTCGTGTGTTCCAAAGCGTTCAGCCAGAGTTCGAATCTGATCACTCATATGCGCAAGCACACCGGCTACAAACCTTTTTCATGCGGACTCTGTGATAAGGCGTTCCAGCGCAAAGTCGACTTGCGCCGCCACAGGGACTCTCAACACGCGGACTCCGCTGACCCACCACAAGCACCAACAAGATACAGATACTACGAAGACTCCCCTACTCCGCTAACCCCACTCATCAGTAACTGAATTCTATTGTTTTAAAGTACGTGTTTTGAATAACTACGTATTTTCATTGCCGAAGCAACTGTGTGATGATAAAGTTTGACAGGTGTTTCGGCAGAGAAAATTCACGGTAAATATTTACTTATGCACTAGTATAATATATTGGAGTGATTAAAGAAAGTCAATTGAATGGGTTCTATACGTCGTTTAAAAATAATGCTTAGATTAGAAAATTATAACATAATATTGATAATTTTCAAAAAACTGAATTTATTTACTATAATTCGATTCAATTTTAATTTCATTGATTAAAGCCATTTCGAGACAATTTTTACGATTTCCGTAATATTTATATGTAAAATTGTAAGTAAAAAGTAACCAAAGAATTTCTACATGATATTGGTTCATTAAAAAGGGTTTTGAAAAACATCAAAAAATCCTACTTAATTAAAATTCCAGGAAACAATTTTGATATGTAACATTATAAATGAAAAATATCCGTTCAGATGGGATCCAATTTGTGTAAAACCAGTCCGTCCTAGGTTATGTGATATATTTACGCATATTTATATTGTACTTTAACTTATTCGACATATATATTTCTGATACAATCATTTTAATTTTTAAAACGTTATAGAGGGTGTAGATAACTGAGCACTAATTTTCTATTTAATAAGATACTGACGTAAAATAGTTTTTAATTAATATAAGAAAGCGTATACATTGATTTGAAAATTAAATCAAATCAATGGATGTACATATTGTAAAATTATGATTGCAAGAGTGTTGTTATATTTGCGCTTAATTTGTTTAACATTGTATCAAAATTAGTAATAATAAGTAGTAATGTAAGATAAAATTAACTTTAAATTTGTTCCTGTGTCGCTTTGATCCTATAGATTAGCTGTGTTTGTCAAACTCTGTACCACATTAACATTATTTTAGTATAGTTAATACCATTGGTCAATTAAGTTAATTTGATAACTAGTTTTGTGTTAAGAATAATAACTAACTACACTTGGAACAAAGTGTAAGTAAATAGTCTAGTACAAACCAAAGTAAAGTGTGTTTTAGTCGAAAGTGAAACGCTTTATTTATTAAATTTAGTTGACGCAATGGTTATACGAAAACTTCGACGAGTCATTTACATGTTATAAATATTATTAATTCTTAATTTTAAGCAAATTGTACGATTTATTATAATTTTAATTAATTGCCTTAAATGGGACAATATGCCATTACTTGAGTAAGTATTATGTAAGTGCTTTCATATTTAATTATTGTGAATTACCATTTCAAAGCTACCATCTGGTTACCATTATAAGGATTGGTTACCACAAGTTATATGACAAATTTAAATCTTTAGAATTGGAGCGGAATTCTTACCAATAGTATTAATTGTATATGTCGATATCAAGATAACCTGCATTTAGCGTAGATTAATAATTTTTAGACATGTTAGATTTTGTAAGACGAGTGTTAAAAAGTACGAGGCTGTTTTTTTAGAAAGGCTGCACCATTGTATAATAGAGCCTGTAAGACGAAAATTGTATTAGTTATGTTACTTTTTGCAAGTTTTGTGAGAAAATTGATGACTAGATTATTTAAGATATTGAAATATTTTCTTATCCTGATGGTGTCAAGTTTGAAGCTACGCATGCTATGTAGATAACGGCTAGAACACCAAAGAAAATCAACATCTATTGTAATGTAAACCCATAAGGATATTATGGGCATGCCACAGTTGCATATCAAAATATACGCTGTACAGTCAGCTGCATAAATATGTACGCATTTACAAAACTTAAGAAACTTGCATAGTCCGCCGGTTTCAAAAATACTTATGTATAAATTAGTCAAGAACTTATGAACAAAAGCATGGAGGCCGATTCTTGCATATATATTTTTAAAATCAAAAGCGTATACAAGTTTCTGCATCTCGAAAAATTATACATATTTATGCAGCTGACTGTACACTTCATATCAAAAGAACTTGTAACATTGCACGGTTAAACCGATGTCTTGCCTTCATCTTTGAATAAAGTTATTGTGAATATAATGTACAATATTACAAGTTGACGACACAAAGTATCGTCAAGATTGATTTCTTTAACAATATTTTTTTTAGTTTATTAAGGCCAGTTTAATTAATAATTTAAATAAATATTTATGAACCGTATTTTTTATTTCTTTTTCACCCACCTATACATACCTAAGGCAAAGGAAGTAACTAAGATTCGAAATAATACAACATTGTGACTCTTTGCTGCGCGTTTGGAAACCCACTGAATTTAAAATTTTTGACTTTAGTCAGAAAAAAGGTAAAATTACTTAAATTAAAATATGTATCTGAACTGAAATTTTAAAAGTAAAAGTGCTATAAAATTAACAGTATGGTCAGACCAGGTGTTTGCCGTAAAACATATGAGTTAATCACAATTTGAAGTGCTGGTTTTACAGCGCACTTAAAAACGTCGTTAGGAAACATATATCCCTTTGAAAAATCTTTGCCTCGTAAGTTGCTGGTCAGTTTCAGTTCAGACGTTTAGGTTGGTATTTAAATATTTTATGGTATATTTATTTCACTTAAATATATAACAAACCTAATATATCCATGTTATTATTACGTAAATAATAAGTATTCATAACAAACAATCAGAAATAAATATAGATAATGCCACATTCTATTTGCCACTGCATATAATCACGATCCATAAACCTAAGTAATTCAAAAGCTTAGTTTCTTCTACTATAATAAAATGGTATTTTCGTATTATTTTAATGCAACAACTTTCAACATATACATTGGTAGTGTTCTATGGATAAAACAATCAGCAGATAGCCTTCGTCTACGTAGACAGCGCAATGAAAACAAACAATTACGAGATATGGCGTGTTGGACATTACAGACGAGCTTTCCCGCAACTCATTTCGAATTAATAGTGTTTGTCGTAGTATTTTCATTTCATATCCAGCTGTAATGTAGTAATGAAATCAAAATACCGACGCTCGCGTGTTCTTAATTAATTACTTTATGCAATAAAGACAAGCGATTGTTTTGGAGACTACGATGTGAATGTTGTACAAGTTTTAATGAAAATAACATAGCCTTTGATGGAGTGGATATGATATCGTCCTTGCGGCAATGATTTAAGGTTGTCGTTTAGGGGGAAAGGAATTTTAATAAAGTAAACTCTATTAAAGGCATAAAACATTTCATTTTAAGGCAACCTATTCAATTAACTATTATAAATATTTCGATATTGTGACGATTTATTAAAAAAAAAGAAAATTCTCTATTGTTACATTCAAACTATTAAATGTTTATATGAAAAATGTATCTATTTAATCCTGGCAATATACCTCTCATGTATTTTTTTTATATAAAGTACTAAACCAGCACTGTATAAAACATTTAAAAGGCTTCACAGTTGTCATTTGTTATATTGAATTAGGTAGTAAGCTACCGCTTACCCCTTTGCGCGTCGCCATTACGATTTTTGTAATACAGCTAAGTAGGGATAAAGAAACGACAATTGAATCCGTACAAAGAGCTGCATTTGCATTGGAAAATCCTTAATGAGATTTATTACCATCGAGGCAAAATGGCCACTCGTATGTAAAGAACATAAGTCGTAACAAGATAAAAATTTAATAACAAACATTAGTTGTCCATACAGTGTCTTAAGATTACATTTATTAAGATAAGGTGCATCTGATATACTAAACGATCTAGCAAAAAGCTAAATCACTACATTTTCTATCTATCTATCTATTAATAATATTAATAAAAAACTTTTTCTTTAAGTACATGTGTAAAATAACTTCTTTCACTGTTGAGGGTATTGCTATGGTTTTTTGTGTACTTTCGGAAAAGTGCAGTATTCTGAAAATCATGGGGTACTTAAAAAATTGTGCGATGGCTGACAGGCCAATTGGTTTTGCAAATTCTTTTGTACTACCTGCCGACTTTTCAGCTCTTTTGAAGATAAGAAATATCTGAGTACATGAGTATTAAGATTTAATGCTATGAAGCTATATAATATGCTATTATTAAATATTATTAACGCACGAGTTCATGTTATTCTCTCCTCGTTTCCGATAAGACTATGATAAGAACAAATGCTGGGTCGTTGACAGGGAATAATGTACACAGATTTCAAATTATGATGAACCTTCCTACTTTATAATTTTATTTAATGATTCTAGCCCCGTTTGAAAGCTTTGGAACATAGCAACTAGAATTACTAGTAATTTCTGTATTGAAGTGAATCAAATAAATATTAATTTACTGCCGGTGACCTCTTATAACTTGTTATTAAAAAGGCGGCGCACTTTTTACAGATTTAAAAAGCGTTTCTTTTGCCCGAATCAAGATGGCTGCGCTCGAATATTTTCATCGTAATCGCGGTCGCGCTAGTGGAAATGCGTTGTTTTCAGCTCCCACTAATGAAAGTAGGCTAGAACAAGCTCAGCATATTTCATTTCAATCTATCAACAAAATTTATCAAAAAGAGAAAGAAGAAAATTCAAAATATTCGTAAATTAAATAAAAAAATTCTTGAATTTACGAGTATAAGCAAAAACGTAGTTTGTATGCGATAAAATATTTCGGTTTTAGAGTGAATAGAAACATAATATGCGGCGACCAGGGGATATTTTTTTAATCAAGTATTTTTTATTTTAATTACTTTAAAGTAATGAAACTTCATGCATTGAGATGAAACTCAGCAGTAGAGTGGAGTAATAAAGTGGAATGGGTAAAAAGCTATAAATCAAAGTGTGAAGTAAAAGATAAAAATTGACCATGGCTATGGCCCATTATGCCAGCATAGCAAAAAAACAACACTTGTCAAACAATTTACGCTAATATTAATGCCAAAATGAACAAAAGGTGTGTTTCACCAGTAAATTAGCCACATGAGTTTAGTAAAAATATATTTATTATTTAGCAACAATATTCACGTAAAATTGTTTACAGGTTAGGTAACATTCATATAATCACAACACAATATATGGAATTTGAATATTTTCAAATTACTTGAAGATAATTCTCGATAATCAATGGATTACACTACTAATAACGAAAATAATTTACATTTCCCCGATAAAATGTTTAGAGAATGGAATAAAAACAAGGTTAGCTATAATGCATATATTAATTACATTTTTAGTGTGTGTGACACTTAATTATATCACAGGATGTAAGCAACAACTTTCATTTAAAAATTATTAATCATCCCAGTTAACTTGGTGACAATCATGCCACACAAAAGTACCTTTCAAACTCTGAGGGGCTTCCAGTGCTAAGAAAAGTGGAGCATGTGCTCCTCGCTCTGGTGTAAAGTCCCCCATCCCATTCGTCATGTCAGTTCTAATGAACCCTGGATGAACACAATTTACTGATACATTTTTACCCTGTTTGCTGAACTCTCGTTGTTGGACAAAGGTTAAAGCGGACAATGCCACCTTTGACACTTTATAGTCTCCATAATGACCAGCAAATGACATATAAAAGTTTTTGCCATTCTTTGCTGCTTGAAGAAAATCATCAACAAACTGTAAAATTTCATCCACGCTCAGATCTTCTTTAGCCAAAGTGTCAAGCCAGTGTTGCTTTCTGATATTTGAAAGCAATCCCCAATCACTGCTTATATTAATAACGCGAGCATCATCATTTAAGAGTGGATAAAGGATTTTTGATATTGTTAGCAAACTATAAAAATTTGTATCCATAAGTCTTTTTGAATCCTCATAGGATGTTATAGGTTTATCGAAATCTAAAACGCCAGCATTATTCACCAAAATATCTATCCCCGTGTGATGTTTAGATATATACTGTGCAAATTCTTGAAGACTGGTTTCATTCGTAACATCCAACTTGTGAAATAAAGGTTTTAACCCTAAGTTCTCCAACTTTTTGATAGCTTGTCGACCTCGCTCTTCATTCCTAGCTGTAAGGTACACAGCTCCGTCATATTTGTAACATAAACCCTTAACAATTTCAAATCCTATACCTTTGTTGCTTCCGGTTACTATTGCTACTTTGGTGTTCATTTTGTACAAAACAAGTTAGAAACAATACAAGTAAAACATACGAGACATATTACGCTGTAAAAATAAATATTTGTTATTTGACATTTTAGCTCCCGGTAATTTTGACGTTTTGGCAGACAGGACAGAACTATACTAGGGTTGTGCAATATACGTTTTACCTTTCAATAAGTTATCGTTTTTACTCAAAGTAAACAAAACCGGAATATCGAGATTCCGGTTCTTTTTACTTTAAATATTTACCTATAAACATGATATAAAAACCACGATCCACGATTAAAATATTTTATGCTGTTTATAGTACATAATATATATATTATACAACACTATTTTCTAATTTCCTGTTTGCGGTACTAATCATAATTAAAAGGAAATCAAAATAGAAAAATTATCCTCGAAAAATTTAATTATTTGTCGATTGCAATAAATGTATAAAGGTGCGAGCACGCCAACACACATTTTGGCGCTTGTAATAACAGATTCCGCCACTGACCTCTGTATATGGACAGGTTAAAAACCACCCTATTTTGTCACAAATCTCGCCGATTTGATCGTCACGGTAGTGAAATCATGCTCTTAAATTTCAACAGGACCGTTGAAGTCGGAACGAAGTAAAAAGTGTCATTTCCAAGCAAAAGCTGGCTATCCACTAATTGAGAAAGTGGCTTCCGCCCATTCCATTCAAATTTTGAATTTGTTGTCATAGCTGGGTAAAAAAAATTACTACATATATAAGATCTTTTATGTAATTACCTGAACTTTTTCTGGTATTGAAAAATAGTAGTATATATAAAGTAAAAAATGCCAATAGCATTGCCTTTCTATATCGAAGTGGTCATAAGTAAAGACAAATCATGTAAATGTACTTTAATGTTGCAAGATCCATTTTATTGCCTATTTAATCTCTAAAAGGTTACTATTCATCATAAATATATTCTAATATGTTGCTTTCGTCAGGATTTTTCTTACATTCCATCGCGGAATGTTTGAGTATTGAGACTGTGTCATTAGATTTAAAGCCAACTTAATTAATTTATTACAAATAAATCACAATCTTCACCTATTTACAAACAAAGTAATCAGCAAATGACCTTTGATTTAACACACATAATCAACTCAAGTTTATAAAAATAGTGACTCTTATCAATTTAAAACATACATTTTCTAAAATAAATGTGCTAGAAATTAATAAATTAATCGATTTTCACTGCAGCGTAAATTTTTCTAATGAATGTGTAAGCTGCAAAAAATCCTATTGTGCCAGTCAGTAACCAAAAAGTTAACACCATAAGACCTGAAAATAAAAAAAATAATTAAGAAATAGCAAAATTTTTCTGCACAACAAGTTTTTTTTTCGTATTACCTGTGTAGCCAATATATAGCAAAGTTGGTATGAATTCAGTGATCTCCAGTTTTGTAAAGAAATAAAATATTGAATATATTAAGATGTAGACACTGGATCCACCGGATATAATAAAACTTTTCCACCACCAATGGTAATCCTAAAAAAATATTTTGAAATTAAAATATAAGTAAAAAAATTGTAATAATAACATTTATTATTTAATAAAAATAATATTTACCTCTCCACAAAGTTGGAAATAAACCAACACAATTGAAATTTGCGACACTGATATCACCAAAATGCAAAATACTAAGAATAAAAATCCAAATAAATAATAAAATTGATTCTCCCAAAGAGCATTAAAAATGAAAAACAACTCTATAAAAACTGCGCCAAATGGTAGTATGCCAGCCATCAAAATACTGAAAACAATAAATAATGGATTAAAAATAGTTACATGAGCTCAAATTAAAAATTGATTGTTGCCTGTAGGCTCATAAATGCTTGTTTACCATTTTAAACGAAAAAAAAATTAAATAAAAAAGATTCAAAATATTTTCTTACCAGACAAAGACATTCATATACCAAACTTGTTCCGGTACTTTCCTTGGAATGAAATTAGTTCTTACAGGATGTTGAAACGGTTGCTTTCTGCATCCAAAGTAGTAACCGAAATATACCAGAGGCAATGATATGCAAAACCATAAACACAATAAAGCCATCATAGTTGAAAATGGTACTGCGCCACTAGAATGTTTACCCATTATAAAGAAATTCAAAAAGAAACATGTCCCAAATACAATAGCAGGGTAGATAGTGGCTGTAAGAAATGCGGCTTGCTTCCATTGTTTTCCCTTCATTGTGTTGTATAGACGAGCAGAATAATAGCCGGCAATGAGACCCATGAACACATACAGAAAGATTGCAGCAGTCATGAGTGCACCACGGCTTGCTGGCGACAACATGCCCAACATAGCAATAACTGTAACAAAATTCATGGTTACACATAACACATAACATAAATACAAAATGTAACACAAATACTAATATGTAGTTATATACTTACATATAGTTATGAGTGCCATTAAGAAAATTTGTATCCCACTCCCAATAACAGCTGCAAAGAGCATTCTTTTAGGAGGTGGTCTGAAAACATCACCATGAACTAATTTCCAACCAGTTTCCTCCATCATGTCATCAATGCCTTCATCTGAATTGTATCTCGCTATATCTCTTCTCAATGTTCTGACCATGATCATTGTTAATATACCTAAAATAGATAAATAACACTGACACAGATATCCAATATTACATAAAAAAGATTGTATTTTTGTATATAATGAATAAACTTAAAGTACTGAACCATTTTCAAAAATACTTTTGCCATGAGAAAGCTATATTACCACTGAGTAACAAAGACAACATTATGACTAGAATTTCTTTTTTTTAAATATAGATTGGAAAAAGTTGTGGGTAAAAGCTATTTATTAGAATTTAAAAAACTGAATAGTATAATGGCTACAAAAAAGTAACTTTTATAAAAAGTGATCTAAGAAAGTACTTAATATTTATAATGTACATGTTAAACTAACCTGACAAAAAGAATAAAACCACAATAGAGTTGATAATGGAGAACCAATGGATCTGAACATCTTTCATGCCCAAATAAATGTCCCATCTGGATGCCCAGCCTATTTCAGACTCTCCCCATTCCACCGCATATGTAAAATACAACTTTGTTCCTGTGTCTTCATTCACTAGCTGCGGTTTTGCATCAGATGGAAATTGACAGGAAAGTTCATCATTAAAAGTTAACTCATCTTTATCCACAGAATATGTTTCCATTTCAAAACCCACAACTCTGTAGGAATCTCTAAAAAAAATAATCTCCAGTAAATATTTTCAATCAAAAGGCAGTTCCCTGCTAATTTAAATATTCTTAAAATATTGTGAAACCGTGAGATTGGTTGTATATATTAAAGTTAATTACATTAAGCTAAATAAAATAATTTTCATGTATAAAGTAATGTGGAGTACAATCAAACCAGGATAAGTGAGAAACCTCTATAAACAAGAAAAATATTGCTGTCCCTCTTGTTACTCTTGACTCTTGCTTATCCAGTCTAGACTGTATTTACAAAAATGGAGTGTGGGACTTACTGACTGTACTTGTGATATTTGAGTAGAAGTTTCAAGTGGTTATGAATAAATGCTTTTCCTTTGGACATAAAACCTAATCGATAACCTTGTTCAATAGTCTTTTCCGAAGTCTCCCGGTTAATAACTCTTGTAGCCACTGGTAAATTGTCAACCAACCTGAAATGAGTGAACAGTAAAAGTTAATTATACTCATATGACAATAATCATTGATAAATGATATTGTTTACTTACAAATGTACAAAATATTCATGTTCTATTCGACTTGCAACCTCTTCTGATTCTTCCACACTCCAATTGATTGGATCATTTTTTTTATGGCACAAGAGTTTACACTTAATATTTTCAGCCATATGCACATCATAAGGGGTATCAACTATTCGATCACCTCGTAGAACTTCCCCTAAGTTTTCAGATTTATATGTAAAAGATCCATTTTTTGGTAAGCACAATGGCAGTGAATAATATTCATACGGTAATTGTGTATGAATGCTGGTCATTTTAACAGCTCTTACTTCAATTCTTTGTCCTTTCTTAAACTCCACTGGAGCCACACCAGGCACATAAAATCCATTACTAAATAATACTAAATTAAAAAAGACAATAAACAGCGATAAGGAAACCTGAGAAAATAGAAACATTTAAGTATGAGTTACTTTCCCTATTCTTTATAACTTATGATGTTGCAAATACGTACCGTAAACATATTTACAACAGTAAAAGCTACTCTTCAATCAAAATAAAAAACACGTCCTCCTAAAATACATTTTCCTAGATTGTATCATTTATCAATTATTTAGTATTTGTTATACAATTAGTTAGTACTTGGGCTATGGGAAGAATCCAGGAATAATGAGGAAATAGGAATATTGAATTTGTGGAGTAAGAAAATGTCAAAAGTCTAAATGTCAAATGTAGTGGATAAATAGTCGATGGTTTCACAGAGCGATTTTGAATAGAAGATAGCAAAGAGTATACAAAATAAGAGACGGGACTCTTGACTAATTAGATACAAAAACGGAGAATAAAAATTGACATTTTCAATGCTAGCAATAATATGAACAAGTCTACGTTGCTACCAACCTAGAAAAATCTATCTGTCAATTTCCTTTTTGACGTTTGAAATTATTATTTAAGGGAAAACAATTTGGAAAAATAAAACAATTTCGCTAATTGCAACTTTAATTTAATCTTCTGACTAAAGCGAACATATTTTAAGAACGCAGCATAATGCTCATTGCTTTCGTAATAATACCATCATTGTTTAGTTCACCAACAAAATACCCCAACTATAATAAATGCTTATTTGTTCCAGTTTGTTTATTTGATAGCTCATATTTTCTGATAGAACTGGAGTAGTAGTGCCACTCTCGTCGGGAGAAATAGAATAGCAGTGGAAAGAGATTAGCTCCTATCTGTTGGAAAATATTTAGAAAATTGCTAACAAGACAATATGAAGCAAAATAAGTCGTCATCATCAAGCTCACTATACGGACACACTATATTCCACTGAGGAGCTCGCAGCCTACCCTCAAGAATGCGACTAGGTTTTATTTAACAACGCAAAGCCAGTGAGGGTTGGTTGACTTCACACATATCTTTGAATTTCTATGCAGTTGTATGCGATTTGTAATTACAGTAAGAATGTCCGATGGATGTTATCATGAAATTCGAAGAACGCATTACTATATAGCGGAGATCGTACCTGAATGGCAAAAGTCATGTTAAATATAATGTAATGTAAAAATAGAATACAATATTTAAGTTTTACTTCTCAAATATAATAAATTCTTCTTCTGCTTCTTCTTCTTCTTCTTCTTCTTCTTCTTCTTCTTAATCTCTTTCCAGTGCTATTCTATTTCTCCCGACGAGAGTGGCACTACTACTCCAGTTCTATCAGAAAATATGAGCTATCAAATAAACAAACTGGAACAAATAAGCATTTATTATAGTTGGGGTATTTTGTTGGTGAACTAAACAATAATAGTATCATTACGAAAGCAATGAGCATTATGTTGCGTTCTTAAAATATGTTCGCTTCAGTAAGAAGATTAAATTAAAGTTGCAATTAACGAAATTGTTTTATTTTTCCTAATTGTTTTCCCTCAAATAATACTTCCAAACGTCAAAAAGGAAACTGACAGATAGATTTTTTTAGGTTGGTAGCAACGTAGACTTATTCATAATATTGCTAGCATTGAAAATGTCAATTTTTATGTCAAGAGTCCCGTATCTTATTTTATATACTCTTTGGAAGATAGGTAGGTAGTTTTTACTTTCATTTTCACATAAGTTATTGCTCACTGGGCATATAAGCAGTTACTAGGTCTTAACTAACATTATATTATGTATTTATTAATTTGCAGTTTAATTTAAATATTTCCCAAATTCATTTTCAACCTTTGCCAAAAACCAAAGCCAAGTGTCATTTCAATGTTAATTCTTTTCATCAAAGAGTATAATAAGTATACTATAGAAAGAGGGGCAACTCGCACGAAGTCGTGGATCCACGGCGATTGTGGCGCTCCATGCGTATAATCGCTGAACTATTTTTTTTTTTTTTGGTACCTATATACTTCGGCACGCATATTTAGCTCACTATAATAATAACTAATAAGTGGGAATCTAATAAATAAAGTTAAAATTGACATTAAATCAATGTTCAAAAATAATATACCCACTTATGTAGTTATTAATATAGTGAGCCGATATCAAGTAGCCTTCTATGAAATACCTCTATTAAAATGATCCTATTATTATTGGGGAAATAAAAATAAAATATTTTTATATTATTGTACATTATTTATTATATTTCTACATAACTTAATTTTAAATCTATGCAAGTAAATATACATCAATGATTTTCAAGATATCAGCTCAATATTTTAATTTTTAATATATATATTTGAAAATTACATTTACGGTAATCAATAGTATAGCGCGGTCACAAAAGAATGCATACCCTGTAATTAAAACCAAACCCCAAAATATTTTCAGTCACATGCAAGCTGGCAACTGGCAATTTGTAGTTATTTGCGAGTTTAAACACTCTGAACATATTCTCTTACAACATAGGCAAGCAAATTTTTCTTTACAATAAAAAATTACAATAAAAAAAATATATTTTTTACATATACACACATGGACCCACCTACTAATTTCAGATACATCAGTTTATGGCTCTATAATTCCAGTTATTGGCACACATTTTCTGAACATCACTGACCGTCTCTCAGGAAGGGGGAAACCGTGTATATGTGCACCTACAACAAACAAACAGAATGTGATTTCCTGTCAAGTATAGGAACTGATATGTAAAATGTATTAGAAGTAGGGCACCATTCAATATGATAACCGGAAAGTATAAATCACTGTGGTGCTAAAAACTACACCAAAATACGAAAATATTTAAATGTTTAAATGAGTCTGACGTATGGGAATAACATGAAAATTTTTATTGAATTGTAACTTACCATAATCAGTCCATCTAAAACACAGTTGCGTACAGCGTCATTTTTCACGAAAACACATTTTAATTAAAAACAAAATGAATGAAACAACATTTAACTAAGAATACAAGAACAGAAATAGAAATACGAAAAAACGTAGCGGTTTGATGACACATGAATGTCTTCTTCTCAGCCATGAGATGAAATTATTTTTACCATTATATAAAAGGTGGCGCCACTTTCCATACAAACCGTCCTTCTTCTAAGTTTCCACCCCCTGCTTTTCATAATTCATCTGTGGTGGACGCATGGCATGGTCATGGTGGATCGAAACGCGTCGATTTTTAGTTAATGTTTTTTTTTGTTTTGTTTTGTGTTAAATGAATTGAATTTCTTTAGATAACAATTAATACATGTGAACATAACTACTAAAACATAAAACGACCATAAAATTGTACAAAAATTTACTAATAAACGATTTCTTTCAAACAATATTTGAAAGCTACCAGTATTGTGAACCGTGAGGTTAAATTAAAAAGTTATCAAAATCGAAGCAAGATGGTTCAGGTAATTAGGTTTTCCACCTTTGTTGTAATTCAATAAATTAAATACCTATGGTGAATTGTAAAAAAAAACTTCGTTCAATATGAAGTTTTTTTTGTCAAAAATCTTAAAAAAAGTTTTATAGCTTTTTATCTAAACATCACCATAATTCTTTTAGACGGAGAAATGTTATTTATTGATTTGTACATTAGTAAACTAAGTAAATTTTGAAAAAATAATAGGTATCCAAATAAACACAAGTTTTTATATCCTACTATAATTAAGATGCCAAAGAGGCAATAAATTTTAAAAGAAAATTGCTTTCTGTTGTTACTTAAATGAACAAATTTTAAAATAATTACTTGCAGGCAATTGAAGAAACTGAACATCCTGATCTACCTCAAGCGGTGCGGCTGTTCAAAGAGATGAACACAAATGTGCAGCAAGTGTCTCAACTTATAGACAACATGTTGGTCCGAGTCAGAAATGGTGAACTATCAACTGACAAAGGATTGAGTTTTCTTGAGATGAAATATCAAATGTTGCTAAGTTATTTAATCAATTTAACATATATTGTTCTGCGTAAATGTTCAGGTGAAAGGATTGAATCAGATCCATCTATTGATAGATTAGTTGAAATAAGAACAGTATTGGAGAAAATTCGTCCCATAGACTCTAAGTTAAAATATCAAATAGACAAACTAGTAAAGACTGCAGTCGTTGGCTTGGTTACTGAAGATGATCCACAGTCATATCATCCTAATCCTGATAACTTAGTAAGTAAAATAGATGATAATGATAATTCCAGTGATGAGACAGATGATGAAGAATCCAGAAAAGATAAAAGTAGTAAATCAAATATTTATGTTCCTCCAAAATTAGCAGCTGTGCATTTTGATGAGAGCACTTCAAAGGTTGAAAGTGAAAAGAAAAACAAAGAGAGGTCAAAGAAACAATTCCTTAATTCTAGTGTTATGAGGGAACTTCGCGAGGAGTACTCTGAAGCACCTATGGAAGTAACCACAGGGAATCATGTGAAGCATTCTATATCTAAATATGAGCAAGAAAAGACTGAATATGAAGAGAACTATTTAACACGTCTACCAGTTACCAAAGCTGAGAAGAACCGTAGGAAAAAACTAACAACAGTTGGTGTGCTTGCTGATGAGATAACAGGAACTCGACAGACATCTAGAAAACATAAGTTGAAATCTAAAAAAGGAAAAGGTTTCAAAAGAAGGCGTATTCATTGAAATCTGTTTATAAATCACTTGTATTTTTAATGTAACGGAAATTATAATATATCATAAACCTATTACATACATGTTAATAAACTCTGTTATGAAACCTGGTACAATATCTGACATTTAAAAACCGTAAATAAGATGATTTGCAGGTAAAAGAATAGTGTATTTTATAGACTATATTTTGCTCTGTTTTAAAAAGTTTTAAAGTTTAAAATCATAGATTGTTGGAGCTAACTTGATTGAAAAAAAGTATTTTGTTATAAAGTATAGCTTCAGTTACAACAGGTAATTATATAATTAATAAATAATATCCGATAAATACAAATATTACTTATGTAATTTCAAAGTTGTGCTCAATTAATATGAATTATGGTCTAATACTCAGTTTAAATCATTACAATATTAGGATGTGATCATTAATTGTGTTACATGTGCAACAAGAATTTTTCACGTTTTTTTTTTGGTATTTACGATTTTATATAAGGTAAGTATAAAATATATCTAAAACAAGTTTCATAGAACAGATTTATTACTTAAACTTTGATTTTAATTACATTGAACAATTTTTTTGTACACAAAGAAAATACTATGTTACATAATATTTTAAGTTATGTTCAATTATTTTTTTTTATTCAATCCAGGATTTCTTAACTGGGTTTTTATTATCTTAACTAAACTAAAGCTAAGTGTACATTTATGTGCGAAGACTAGCAATTTATAGAATTTTTGTTTCTGGGTTCATTTTTTTATGTTATAAAGTTATTATTTTTAATAATCAATTATTAAGCACATTATATGAAGTTTTTTCTATAAAAATGACATATTCCTATAGTTCATATTATTAGCATGGATATAATATTGTAAAAAGCAATACATTATGTACTAGGTGACTTTGTATGCAGAAAATAACTTATGTATCTGCTAGCAATAATTATTTATTATTTATGTATATTGAAATCTGAATTAAGGCTAAATTGTTGGAATTCACTTTAAATTGTAAGGTAATTATTTTAAAGGTATTACAAAATATTGATTTCAATGAATAATAATTTATTTTATCATGTTTAAGTTCCTTGTTTGGAATTTTCTTTAAAAACTAAGATAAGTTGATTTTTTGTTTTTTAAGTTTTTTTTTTCAGTTCAGTTACTTTTTTCGGTACTTTTGACTTATAGGTTGTTATTATTTCTCAAAGTACATATAAATATTGATTCTAAGCTATTTTCTGAATTTTAATTGCCTAACTAACCACAAATATATTGAAAATCAATAATTCTGTGTTGATATAGAAGCAGCTAGCTTAAAGGTCGAGCTTTTAAAACATATATAACAAATATAAATTATATACAGCAGATTGTACTATAGTATGAATTATTGTATGTTTAACATAAAGTAGCTCTGAAAGGAGTACATTTTGCTAAGTGAGATTCAAAATACAAAACCATAATTTTAGTTTCAGTGATATTTGTGACAACGATTATTTATATTCTAAAGGGATTTTTTACTGAGTAGAATTTTTATTGTTTAGATTAACAGCACTATAAGATTTATTCATTTTTGTATTTTTTTTAATTTCATTTTGTGTTAAACTCTATTTGCGTACTTTTTTTCTGAAATAGTTTTTGCTCTATGTTTTTAAAAGAATTTTGTTTCGTAAAGTACATATACTATACCTTTGGTTGTAACTGAAAAATCCTAGCAAATAGAACCTTCAGTATGACAATGGATCTTAACATTGAAGTTGATTGAGGTGACGTATTTGCTAAAACATTTTTTTGTAAATGTTTAAATTTTTATATTTTAATTTTTTAGGGAAGAATTTTGCTTTGAAGTGAAAGTCAAATTCGTTTATCAAAAATTCATACATACAGTCTATAATAGTTGTTTATATTTCGTAATGTTTTTTAGTGATAAAAAATATTGCATGATCTTTAAATGTATGTTAGTTTTATTTAATTTTCGTAAGTTGATGTTTTGTTTTTTGTTTTCTTAATTTCTTTCGTTTGTTTTTCTTTTGTATTAATCAACAAATATTGAATAAAATATCAGAAAAATGCTTTAATTTTATTTAATGAACATTATAACCTGGGAAAATCTTGGAGGCCCGAGGCGGGATCAAATGATTGGTATCGCTTTAGTCGCATCTTTCGGATGTGGTCTATGGGTGTGTGCGTGTCCAGGCACTGATAATCTCCGCGTGGGGGCGCTGTTCCATAGTTCTGTGTCAATTGCGAGCGTATGACCCGATTCATCAGCCATATTGGTGACGACATAGTAATCTATAGATAAGTACAAAATATAAATTGATTACAGGTCCGTAGCACATATTAATAGGTTAACTAAATTTGAATTAATCGTTTGCTACCTACAAGACAAAATATGAGATTTTGGCATGTTACCGGTTTTAGTACAGCTGGATGGGGATTCCTGTAATCATCTTGTTGTGTGGAAAGATAGTCCATTACACCGAAATCCGGCGGCAATTGCGCCAATCCAGCCGTTTTCATAAGTCTGTTTCGTCCTGGTGTACTAAAATTACAAATAGTATAATAAGGAAAGCCACTTCATCATCATCAGCTCACTATACGTCCCCACCGAGGGGCTCGGAGCCTACCCTAAGTTAAGGGTGATTAGGCCATAGTCAACCACGCTGGCCTAGTGCGGGTTGGTTGACTTCACACATATCTTTGAATTACTTCTCAGATATGTGCAGGTTGCATCACGATGTTTTCCTTAACCGTAAGAACTTACTTGCCGCTAATTCGATCTTAAGGCTAAATAGACGTATATAGCGGCAAAGCGCTGGATACGTTTATTTCTGGGTTCGAATCCCAGTAAAATCGGTAAAATTTTTGTGACAAAACAGAGAAGCTGTGAAAGACAGCACTCGCGTCGGTCAGTAACGCGACTGATTCAGATGGGAAATTTTTCTTTTCTTTTTTTTTACAACTTACTCAGTGCAAGGATATGAAGTAAAATTAACTAGTGGCTTGTAAATATAAACGGGATCCTTTCTCATAAAAACTTGCTGCAGCATATGTCCAGTCTCAGTGGGCCCGACGCCCTGGTCGTGGCTGCCCAGACGTAAGTATGTACTCAGGTGATTGCTTAGCTGATCACGGTACACATAATTATCTTTTTTCTCAGCTCGTACCGCGTAATCCCAGTGCTCGACCTTCACGTTAGGACTGTATTTATTTTTACAAAATAAGATTTGGGGTGGCTTTTTCGCCATGGGGTTTTTGGTCCGCATTTTGAAATATTTTAAAAGATTAACAAAATTTACGAATAATGAGCAAAACTGTTTTGTTTTTTGTAAGATTGAAGTTAAAGAATTTCTAAATTGTGTGACATAAAATAATGATTGATGTTTATACAGTTGCAAAATATAAAAAATAATAGATTATGATAATGTTTAAAAAGTATTTATAATCTTAAAATTACGTTTTGTTGATTTATAATCAAGCTTCCGTTTCCGTAAAGTATAGTCAAAAACATATATATATATATTAGATGCTTTTTTTCAGTATTTATTACTTTTTTGTTTATAATTACATTTGTATTTTCAGTTTAACTCCCCAAGTATAGTAGACTATAGACAGGCAGCCGGCCAACCGTTGATTAATTGAATTAATAACGTTTGACTCTGAATAAAAACAGCAAAAGGTGTATTAATTAATAATTTAATAAAGTTCAGTCGGAGTCTGCGGCGTTGCAGTCGGTATCGTGCTGATGCCTTCCGTCGACAACTGTTCTAGCGTACCAAGTTCTCTTAAAGAAACACTTTTAAGCGCACAAGCGATAAAGATTTCAAAGAATTCAAAAAATGTTATCTCTATGTTTAAGTTGATGATTCTTTGTTCCTCACAGACTTTGGGAAATATACGGGAAAAGATCGATATTATTGATGTACAAGGAAGATTGTCGAAGTTAAATAATTTCAATTCTTGTTTCTTTTGCTTCTTCAAGTTTTGTAAAGTAGTTTCCGCATAGGAGTCTGTAAATTAAAATAAAGTGATATTATCAATTCTTTATAAACGGAATAATAACATAGAATCGTATATTAATAATTACTAGCCTATATAAATTTTTTTTGTAAATTTACTTCTACTAATATTTCTATTACCATTCCAAATAAGCCCTAAGCTTGTGCTAGGATATGGTTTACGACAATAGTCGATTGGCAGGTTTCGAACCCCCGACCTCGTGATCAGAAATCTGTACCCTTAACCATTAGGCTATTCTTGATAATGCCACTTAAACATAAGTTCATAACTATGAGTAATGTATAATATCATAGTTCCTATCGCCTTTTCCTCCATCTTTTATATACCGTTTGATACAAATCTATCTCACCTTAAAACTTATATATTAAATAATTAACTTACCTAGAACATATGTAATTTCATTCCCGAAAATGTAAGAATTATGTCCAAAACAGGGATTGTTAGATTCAACGTGGAGATCGTTCAGATTTTGGACTTTTAAATGTGAGGGATGATGCACGGCGCGAATAAACGTCAGGAGAGTATGCGGTTCTCCTAAGCTTTGATATAATTTATATAGAGGTTTTAACGGCATAAATACCCCATAACCATTAATAAATCGATCTGCACAAAAAATATTATATAGTTAATTCTTAATTTTATTACAACCATACTGTTTCTGATAGAAAAAGTCTTAGCCTGTAGTTTCTGTTTCGACTGGTATGCTACTCACCTTTTTGTTGAGTCACTCCCGGTAAAATGTCTTTGTCCATAAATTTTCTAAATGCGTTTGCTAATATTGTGTCAGGTTTTGGACCTGGTAACACTCTTTTTGCGTACAGTTTATTGGCCACCGATATAAGACTATGTATAAATTGCCAATAGTAAACTGGCTCGAAGGGATCGTGCGGTGAACTCGCAAGCCAACGAGGATTCTGGGCAAATATGTTGTCGATTTGTACCAATGTCAATCCCTTCTCATGTATGTTGCAATCGTAATACATTTGCCATAGGTAGAGTCGAATCAAAATGGGAGTAAAATTTATTTTTTTCGAGTTGCATAAAGTACAATATTTGTAATAAATTCTTTTCAAATCACTTTCATAGCACCGCAAAGAATTGTCCAGTGCTCTGAGCTCAAATTCGATTAAATCGTCGGGAATATTTTCGTCGATTTCATCGCGATTCGACAGACGCAAGTTTTCGTAGAGCTTTTTATTGGACTCTATGAATTTGTTGATCATGGCCTGTCTGATTTGTTGCTGCTTGTCTATATTTTTGATCGCCTGTTTAACATGGTACCGAAATCCCACCGAGTTGTCGATTATATCAAACTTGTAAGGTTCGACAGTTTGATCATACTTTATACCTTTCGCGTTAGAAATATCAACATCTTCTGAATTCGTGTCCAGGTTGCCGTCTTGAAATAACTGTTTACTTTTTAATATGAAACCGTTGTTAGAGACTAGTATCCCCGCACCATGTTTCTGGTTATGCTTGAACTCCCCGGTGTAGTGGGCGCCGAGGCTAAGTCCGAGTTGCAGTAGGCCGCAGCCATGCCGCTGCCCTCTCAGCCACTGCCCGCGGTACATTATAACAGACGGTTGAGACAGGGTGTTGTTACAAAAAGTATCCCAAATGTAAGTGCCGTTGCCAGACATGACGCCATTTTTCCATTCTCCTCTATAAAACTACAAAATAAATGTATTACTATACTACATGATGTCATATATTATCTTTTTTAATTTTCATAAATTTTCAGGCTTTTGCCTCTGCTAACTTCCGACTTATAGTGCCGTATTATTATTTTATTATTTATGATCAGACTGCTCAGAAAGCAGGAGCACACTTTAAATATAGTTGCCTTACACAGTTTCCGTAGTAGAAAATACAATTTATATTAATCTTAGAAATTAATTGCTTATTAGTTTATGTTTTCAATTGTCAACTTACATCATGATTGGGCCATACCATCAAGCCTTTACCTTCTCTAATATAGAGATCCCACTGTCCTTCGTACACACTTTGGGGACAGTATTCCCTGGCTCCATACCCATGACGTACGTTCTAGGATAAACATTGTATCACTGATTAATCAAAAAAAAATAGTTGTAACAAATGGTATAATAACAGACTCGACAATCTGACGTAAAGAAGTTTTCTGTGTTGCATCTATCTTTAAATAAAAAGACAACATTCTGTTATTACTTACATAAACCCACTGACCGTCATAAGAATTTTTAAACGTTTCAGAGTAATATATAGTTCCGCGTCCATGCTTAGTACCGTTGTACCATTCGCCAATGTAGGAGCGTTGTCTTCGTGAATCCACATACATGCCTTTACCGTGACGCAAGTTGCCGGCGAAATCCCCCTCGTACCAAGTATCATCTTTCCATTGAAGCATTCCTCTTCCATTCATCTCATTATCCTTGAAGCAACCCTGTATTTCAAGCAGATTTTCTTTCTTAGAATATCTTCATATTCAGTCTTGAGCAATGATGATTATTTGAAATGTGCGATAGTTACTTACTTGACGTCATCCAAAAAAGAGAATTCATTATATCAAGTGTTAATATTTTGGTCATGTATCTTTGTCGGACTTGTTTTTAATTTAAGAAAAGTATTTACCGTGAACACGGTTCCATCTGCCCATATGTAAATGCCGTCACCGTGCATAGCTTTCATAGAAATGTTTCCCTCGTATAAGTTACCGTTTCGGAATCGAATTATTGCACGTTCATCTGGAGCAGTCCACCAAGACGTAGGTATTGTCTCCTCCTGAACCAAAAACAATTCTAGTTTTCAGAAAAAAGAATTTATTGGCTATTAGATTTCTTTGCATTAGCTAAGCCATTGCGTAGCGATTAAATAACGACAATTAAGATACCTAATCAAAATAATTATTATTTATTTCTTGATATACCTGTGCCTCATCCATAAATTCGGTTTTCGACCTTTTCGACTTCGATTTGGCTAAAATAAAACGAACATAATCAAATTTTATTACAAACATTAGCAAAACCAAAAATAGACAACTAACCAAGATTTTTCTTTTTCTTTTGTGGAAATATACTACTGGTGACCTTTCCAAAGTCTTTGGTTCCAAAACTTTCTTCTTTTTTAACTTGACTTATTACTTCCCAAGATTCAACGATGCTGTCCAACATGGAATTGAATAAACATGTAACGATCTCTTTCTGTACCGAGCCTCTTGGCCGACTCATTAGAAACGTTGTAGAGTCGCAGCCCATGGCTATAGACAGCTTGCTCGACATTAGATTTCCTCCAATATGTCTCGCTTCAGATACTGATCTTCTAGATAAAATTAGCGAACTGTCTCGCCGCGTGGCGATAGATCTTGGTGTATCCGAAAAGAGCATTGTTTTTATTTTTGTCTTATGACAATGAAATCAAACAGGCAATATTTTCTTGTATAAACCTCAGAAATATATAAAAAGATCTTGGCTAACAGGATAACGCAATCTTTCTAATTGACATGCTTATGATTGATATCTCTCAATTTCAGTAAAAAATTTGGTCTTAAATTGTATTGTAATGTCCAGTAAAAAGTATTTAATGTGATTTTCTCAGTATGTATATTCAAAAGAAAGGATTAAGGAGCAAAACACTATGCTAATGCTCTTGTAAATAAAAGTATCTAAAATTCTGTTTTACTTATATCGATAAAGCAGCAATTATCGTTGTAAGACAACTTTGTTGTGGTTGAGCAAAAAATTGCTTTGAACGTTTATCATATTAATTCATGTGTAACATACCAGCACATTCCATCTACACTTATTTTTTGAATTCTTTTCTGATATAACAAAGGTTGAGATCGATTCTCATAAACTCATGCATAGTTTTAGTTAAGTCAGCAATTTTACACCCACTAGAGGTATTTAAGAGTACTGTAGTAGCCAAGTAGTACAAGTATAAGAGTCTCTAATTTTTAGTTTTACTTATATGAAGATAGACTCTTGTTTTACCCTGATTTGTGCCAATTTATGTCTATAAATATTACTTCCAAGTTTAAAACAACGACAAAATAATTTTACTTACGTATGTTTTTTTTTTAAATAAAATTTCCAAAAATACAATGCTGATACAATAAAAATGGGAGATTATGAAAAGTTAGTTAAGTTTCGTACTGGTTTATTTTAACAAGCAGTCTAACTTTATTTTTAATTCTAGGTCTTGAAGGTCGATCATACGGACTTCGATGTCTCTCAGTAGCACCATCCGTCTTATAAGAGGTTGGAAACTCATCGTTTAACAAAGATCGACCTAGCGATAGAAAATAGTACGTTATAAGAGATTTTTAGACAAGAAAAAAATACAAAAAAAAAATCTTAAAATATTTTAACCCATTTTTAAAAATTTCCAAGTCTTCCAAAAACGCCAGAAATCTGAACTGTTATTGAGATTAGCCTGCGATGAAGTATCGTCTGGCTCCAGCGGTATGTCCTGATGTGGAATCTCCTGAGTTGTGTTTGCATCCCCGCAACAAGGACATAAAAAACTTAATATTGAAAACAGCATCAGCACCTTAAAATAAGATTTTTATATTAAACATTTTACGGTTCTGTAGTTACGTGCTCATAATTCTATATGTTATAGTAAGTTAAATTAACAATGTAGTTTCCTACAACAGATCATGCTATCGAGGGTTCGAATACTGCCGTCTCGAGCCACATTCTTATACATCTTCCAAGTAGATAGAAGTGAAAAATATGTTACATAGAAATCAGAGAAATAATTTCAATCAAATAGTTTAAAAAATACGATTATAAATACCTTTGAGATCATATTGTAACAGTTTTGTATTACAATCCGTGCAATACAAGCGTTGGGATTACACTAACATTAGCGAATGATTCCTTAATCGTTTCCTAAATTACACCAAGTTATGAAGCTGGTTAAGTTGTAACATTTATACATAACCGGTATATAAAGATATGTTAATACATATAGCGTGACTTGATCAGAGTTATTACCACTGAAACGCACCAATTCCTATGCGTATATTATAACACAAAGTGGTTATTCAAGTCGAGTTAATAATATACGGCTCCATCCAGAATAGAGTAAATAGCTTTTACACCAAGGATCATGGGTTTGATTTAAACCAGAGAAATATATAGTTTAAAGGACTTTATACATGCGTTTGTCTGTAAGTGAAATTACATGTTTCCCGAAACCTTTTGTAATAGTGCCTAAAATGTATATAAGAACACATGTACTTTTGTTGACGAACCAAATAAATAAATAAATAGAAATTGTAGCAGATAAATATGCAATTAGTATGATTATGATTAAGAATAAAAAATAATAAGATTGTAATTCAAAATAACTATTTTTATTAACAATAACACATTATTAAAATAATTTATTCAATAGTAATACAGTAATATAACAGTTGTTTGCAAGAAATTAACACATTATGAATATTTCACAGATCACGTTTAAAACTATTCGCACTATGTGCAAGCTTTATACTGTAAAGATAAACAAAAATAAATATATAATTTACACTTATAAATAAATTGATTTATGATAAGGTTCATATTTATAAATAATGAAGAGAGCGATCGGTATACAGATATATGACAAAAATAGTATTTGTATTACATTAATTAATAATTTAACGAATAATAAACTATTAATTATTTTGTATATTAGCATAAAGAAATGTGTGATAAATGATAGATTGATTTAAACGAAAATATGTTATGTAAAACAATACGTATATAGAGTGTTTAAATTCATGCCAAGAATTAAATTATTCCAGGTGTTTTAGGTGTAATGTAGTGCAGATGTAAGTAAATATAATTTACAAGTAGAAGAACGGTTTTGCAGGAGTACAGTTCGCATAAAACTTGATTAACAGATATACTGCAAAAGACCTGGACGAAAAAATATGTCGTATTTATCTTGAAAAATAAATAAATAGGCATATAAAAATATAATTACCGAACTCACGGTTTATATCTATTATAATACATATTAGAAATATACTTACTAAATGCAATCTTACGCTTAAACGCAAATGGAGAGGCAAAACGTAAGTAGGCATGTGTTAAACTCACACAGGTCTTTATCTGCGCGCGTTGTACCTATATAGAAATATCTTAAACGAAGGAATTGGCATATTGAAAAAGCAATAGTGCCTGTAACATTAAAAAAATAACTTCATTGTGCGTTTAAATACAAATAAAACTTATTTACAATTATGATTAACCGTAGGTTTCCGAGCCAAAATCTCTTTATAAAACGTATCGTCAATATCTGTTCATCTTTGACAAGACAGAGATAACAATATTTTTAAAACGGAGATTTTGTTCTTTAAATCCAACTGTTAGTAATATTAAATACATTTTGAAGACCCTAATAATAATAAACTATTCTCTGTAGCCTCTAGCAAAATTATAAAGTAGTAATCAAAAAATTTGGTAAAAACTTTTTAAACGTGAAAAATTTATCCGCATTTAAAAAATCCATTTCGTGAATTCTATAAAAATTGAAAAATATATTTATTAAAATAACATAAGTAACATACATATAATTTGGCTATAAATCGACACACACTTATAAGAATTAAAAATAAAAAAATGATTGTTTTGCAATCAATGATTGAATTTTCTGTAGACAAGTCAAAATTTTTTTAATCAAGAAAAACGTATACATTGCCTGTTTTTCAATGTATTTGTATTTACTGAAGGGAAGATGTTAAAAGCAGCTAGTATTGAATAATTGTAATACATTTTAATATGTTAAAATAATACTTTAATTGCAATTATTACAAATCATTAGCATCCAAACAATGATTAATGATTTGTGAATATAAAATGAGATGAAAAATTTGAAGTTATGTAATAAACCTTTATTTTTAATACTGCCTAGGTTTTCATTATTTTGCAAAATTTTTTTTTAGGCATAAAATAGATTTTAGTTACTATAAATTCACATTCAATTTAGTGACATATTTTCTAGACAAAAAAGAAGCTTCCGAGCACCTGCCAAAGACCATGTTACGATGTACAAAAATTTTGAGCATCACAATTTTTTTCAAAATTTTTTCAACAATATATTTTTTCCCCTATTTTTTTTTTAAATAACGGACACATTGTAATTATATTATCACACCTCATCAAATACTAACCTAATTATTAATGACTTAGACAATGACTAAAATTGGCACGACCCCATTTAAGAAAGGGACAATTAACAAAAAACAAAAATAGGCAAAGAATTCAGTAAGAGTATTTTTTTAATATTTCTGTTTATAATTTTCTTGGGGTATAAATTCATAAAGGATTTATGTCTCTATTTTACGTATTATTTCGGACTGTTATTGGCAAGAATTGGCCCCTATCTTATTTACATTTATAACATTTTTAAACTAATCCATAATTTTCTGAAATTACATTTAATTTACGTATATTTATACTCATCACGTAAATTCCTCACTCAGGCACTTTCTTATATCTTATCAATCGAATATTTTAAATCTAGGCTTTTTCCTGTTTTACTTAAACTAGATCTTTGGCCAAGTCATAAAAAATTGTCATGGTGTTACCATTACAATTATTGGCGATTGAAATCATCGCCTTAAATGCATAGCTTCTAGAAATTAATTTTTTGCATATTAATTGCATTGTTTAAAACATTATTCGACCTTAGTTAGATTTACTTTTTGGTAAAGATTTTTTCATAGAGATTATAGATAATTTTATACAAAATATAGAAATAATTTAAAATCAAGCTTAATACTTCAAGTTAAGAAAAAAAAGATTATTGAAGATTGGTCAAGATAAACTTTACGTTTTGGGTAAACTCAAAAACCATGGAAAGGTTTTCAGTGATAGATCAGCAAGCAACAGCACTATTATATTTATCTATCTATTCTAGTGAAGTTGTAGCGGATTGCTAGAATTAAATTTTTAGTATAATTAAAGTATATAATTTTTTTTAATACTTTTTGAATATTTTAAATACAACACTATTATTAATCTTTGATGAATATATTTTGGACTCACCATTTATCCTAGTTGAGCGACTGAACGCGATGATTCTCATCTAAAAGAACAATGACGTAAGTACCAAAAAAACGAAAATAGCTTTTTAATTTCATAAATGCACATTTCAGAATTTATATCCATGAGAAAAATTTATTAATTATAGAGATACATAAATTTATAAAAAATAAAAAGAATTGGGAACTTTCTCTAGTACAAAATTTCAAAAGGCTCTCCAGAAAAATTGCTTAAACGTAACTAGGTCATTGTTCTATTGGATGAGAGATATTTGTGCATCGCATTGCCAGTTTAGTGGTTGGGAAACATAAAATCTAGATCCAGGCGGTGTGCCTGAGGTTGTCTACGAGTGTGGCGCGGCGGCGGGTGACGCGCGGACAGACACGCGGACAGAGTCGCGGGGGCTCGTGCGCGGGCCAGTGTCACGAGTCGTGCAGCAGCCGCTGGTAGTGCGGGAACACCTCGTGCGGCGGCACGTGCAGACCGAACTCCAGCGCCACCAGCACAGCGAACTCAAACTTCATTAGATCTTTGCGGTTCACACGGAATGTTGTCTCTATACGCTGCGGATATGTTCCAAACTTTATTTCATAGTATTATTTTACTATTCCAAATAATCTTACTAATAGTAGACATGCAAAAGTTTGGATGTTTGTTATTACGTATTATCAGAGCGGCTCAACGGATCTCGCTTAAATTTGGTATAGATGTAAGAGATAGTTTGAAAAAACACATACGCTACTAATTATGTTTTTTTTAATAGCATCGCGGACAAAAACTAGTTAATAAATACATTTATTTTGCGCAACATAATATTAAAGTTAAAAGGAATATTCACTAGTAACCTTATGATAGACAGCTGTAGACACACGTAATAGTCAAAAATTAAAAAAAAAAACAAAAACAAACAATAGTAATAACAAAAATAATTTTGCTTAAATCTATTCGAAATGTAAAGGTTAATAATTACCTCTATCAAAGCTTTTAACATTTCTCCTTTGACATCGTTTAATTTTGCAGACAACAAAAGACAAGCTCCGGCGCACAATTTCCTGTTGTCTTTGTTTATCAAATTGGCTAAAATCAGTTTTTCAAAGTACACATACGCCTGGGCCACAGACAACAAATCTATACCACCACAATCGTGTTTTGCAATTTTTCGCATTTCTTTTTTAATACTGAAAAAAAAATATTTTTGTTTTTGATTTTTTTTTGATTTTTTGTCATAATAATTTTAACGGTCTTACCTTCTAAGTTTGCTTAATGTTAATTTAATATGAGGGAATTTCTCTCTAAACTTATCGTTGAGCTCTTTCTTTAGATCCTGTGGTCTTACATAATCAATAATGGATGTCATGTACGAGGTGAATGTTAATAAAGTCCTATGTTTACCAGCAATTAGCTCGGGATCATCTAACACGTTAGGACAATATTGGACCTGAAAACATCAAAATAAACATCGTAAGTTTCCACTGGCACAAAATAGATAAGAAAAAAAAATTAATAACAGGAATCACCAAATGTTTTTGAAAAGGATTGTCGCTAGTCTTACTAATAGTATAAATGCGGATGTATGGATGTTAGGAGTATCTCCAGAGTAGCTGGTGAATCTTCCTGAAATTAGGCATACTTGTAAAAAATAGCCTGGAAGAACACATATGCTACTAAGTTTTTTTTTTTAATTCTGTATAAACAGAGTCGTGGGTGACAGCTAGTGTAACAATAAATAAGGAAATTAGCATATAAGAAAGGAAACTTACGAATTTTTGTGACAATATAGCTCCTTCGTCCCAATCAAATGTTTTAGTTTCTATGGACGAGTGCGGCGGTGACGAAGCAATCGTGGTACGTTGCGAGGATTCATAGGAAAAGCACCTAAAATAATTGCATTGTTAGTTACTACGGACATAAATATATGCATGCATTCAACATTAATTAACTCATGCAAGTTAACATGCTTTTGCATTCCAAATTGTTAAAAAAGATAGAAACAGTGGAACATGCAAACTAAATAAATTAAACTACAAATGTGCAATGAAGTAGCTGTTTATATGAATTGTGTATATAACTAGAAGTTAACACATTGAATGCCACCATGATGGATGACGAGAGAAAATTCCGTGGCACTGAATGTGTTAAAACTAAAATGTCATAATAAAATTGTATTAACGACTAGCTAGTTTTCTGCACTAAAGTACATAATAATGATCTAACCCTTAGAATTACATAATAAACTGAGCCTTAAATTAAGTGTTTACTTTAGTGGACATTTAATATTTATGGTGAATTTGGATAAATTGATTTTAGTACAAAATAATTCTCAAATACATTAAGGTATGTTATTTTTGAAGTACATAAAACTTTAATATAATATAGATAATTATTGTTTAATTTATATAAGCTATTTATATATACTATATACAAGTTATGGTGTATATCATGCTGCATACAACTTTTAGTGCAGTATATTTTTTTAACTTAATTTTTTAAAGGATTTTTAAAACCTTAGCAGAAGTACTTTAGCAGTTATAATATTAAATTATATTTTAATACATGACAAGTGTTTTTATGCAAACTGATTTTTGTTTTTAATTTTTAAACAACCCAAGTCATATATTAAGTTTGTTGTGTTGTAAAAAATGCAGCGTTTTAAGAAAATACTAATTATTTTTTTTATTTTACCATTTTCTATCCTTGTGCCTCGTCAATAACTTAGTCCTGAAATTTAAAATGTTAGCAATGATATGAGGTGATTGCTTGTGATTTCACACTAAGGGTGGATATACACTAGAGCATTTCTAAGTAATGTAACATTCCTACAAATCTTATAACTTCCAAAGCATATATGGTTCATATACACTAAAACATATAGAGATATAGAGTTTTGTTACAAGTAAATGCTCCAGTGTATACTCACCTTTAAGCAAAACATTGAATATAAAAAAATTAAGATAATGTTCATTACATAATGTGTTTTATGACCATGAAAAGTAATGTGACAGACAGAATATATCCATAAAAACATCAATAAGGGGAATCAAAAAGACACCAAGAGACATGCAAAATTTTACTCTCAATATGCATTATACTATGGGTAATCTTTCATATTACACCAATAATAATCACACAATTAATATTCAAACTGCCATACTCAGAATTTTTTAACGGTTAATTAGGCCTATGGTATAGATTGCTCTTACATATTATCACATTAAAAAAACTGTGAGATGAATCTGAGTACAGCAATAAGCATTTAAATGTTTGATTAGCCTTCCTCATCGTCTATGTGATGGATGTAAATAGGTTAAATATATTATAATTAAACTTACCTAGCTATAACATGAGGGTGACGATTTAGTATCTTCCATGATGTTTTATCCCCAATATCTCCATCGTAAATTTTACGATATTGGTCTCGTGTACATACTCTTGATGGCACTAGTAACTTTGAATAAGATATATCTTGACCATGCTCTTCTCTTTCCAGACCTAGGAGATCAAATGGGTCTACTCCATTGTCAGTTATTGATGATAATGGCCTAGGTCCTGACGTATTACGTCTACGCACACCATCTTTTCTTATATCCGCCCTGAGAATTGAAAAGATTAAAAATGGCAATGTAATCATTTCATAAGCTTTATAAAAAAATATGAGACAAGAACATACCTTGCACTTCGTATGGTTTTAGAATATGGTATTGTGCTATATAAAGCACAGGGAACACCTTGCATTGGTGCAATTGCAAGCCTCTCATCTTTAAACGTAACACCTTTTGTAGGACGAACTATTCTCACTTCTTTGGAAAAATAGTGATTTTCAGGTATACATGTTGTGCTTGTTCTAAACCTTCCTGTTGTTAAAAAAATAACTCTAAGAATACAATTTTAAAGGCATAAAATATATTATTTTTTAATGACCAAAGGAATTATTACCAATGTTAAGACTTTCAGTGCTGCTCTTTTCTTCCTGAGTAATGTTAGATGGAAGATGTGCTTTACGGCTTCTGATTGATGAATGCTTATCTTTGTGTTCCGCACTTCCAGACTGGCATCTAAATAATCAAATAACTTTGAAAACTCCTCATATTAAATTTTTAGATGCAAGGAAAAGGTTTTAACTTAATTACATTTACTTTCACAATCTTATTATAGAATTTACCTCTCTCTGAATGAATGACTGCTTCTAGTTTTAACAGGGGTGACGTGCCCATGCTCTGAATCCGAACTTACAGAATGATTATCACCTCCCATGCGATTAACCGGACTTTGTGGCGCTTTATTACGACCCCGAACATTATTTCGTAACACTGTATCTCTCTCAACATTATGACACACATCGCCATTTTTCAGACCACCATCGCATTTGTCAACCTTGGAGCTTTTTTCTAATAACTGGCAAAGTTCTGTGTCTTTAAATGAACCATCGAGGGATATATTTGATAAAAATGTAACAGCTGCAAGACGACGTCGGGCTTTTTCATATTTGTTGCGATTTGTAGACATTTTTATGGGAACTTCTTTGGAAGTTAATTACTTAAGAAGTTTTTTTAATGCAATCAAATATCAGATATATCAGATGTTTATAAATTATGCAAAGCACTGCAGTATTTTTAATTTTGACAAATAATTATTAATGTCAATGTCAGTTAAAATGACAGCTTAAGTTTTTGTACCTGTTTTTAAAAGACATTAATGTTTTCATTGCTTAAGTACATATAAAAGAAATACTAAGAATTATTGTTGATTAGTTTTAAAGTATTCAATTATTCATCAGTAAATTGAAGGAATATCTACAAATACAAATGGCGATAAACTTAATATTAAACTCTGAAGTTGACATTAGTGGCATCGTATATCAATCACGGTATTAGAAAACCAACTAAAAAAAAGTAAACTGTCAAGTATCTGTTGTCCACTGTTGTCAACAAAAAGTATATGAAGTAGGAATTTAAGTTCCTGGATATAATAATCTAATAGTTTTGACTTGTCTTCAAAATTACAACCATTGAGTCGAATGTCCCCAGCGTATCAGCAACATCTAGAGCTATTAGATTTATGATGGAAGGTGTAGGAGCCCGTGTAATACGAGGTCCAGATTGGAAGTGGGGCAAACAGGTAAGTTTATAACGATATTATTGATATTTAAAACTTTTATTACTGTATTTCACTGTACAATTTATAAATACGAACGTTGCAGGATGGAGGAGATGGCCATGTGGGTACTGTTAGAAATTTCGAATCTCCTGAAGAAGTAGTTGTAGTGTGGGATAATGGCACTGCAGCAAATTACAGATGTTCCGGAGCTTACGACTTACGCATTTTAGATAGTGCACCAACTGGAGTAAAACATGAAGGCACTATGTGTGATACATGCAGGCAGCAACCTATATTTGGTAAGGTTAAATTTGAACATAGTCTATTTGTGTTTGTTTACCTTATCCAAGTATTTAGTTTCACTTTTATGAACCCAAGAATCAAGTATTGTGAGCGATACAATAAATAATAAATAAATTAATAGAATATCCAATTACAAGTACTGATTTGTAGTCAATTTTACTTGCTGTTGGAAATTCTCTCTAAACTCAAGAGGCACTTGGATATATAAAATACCTATTTCCACTATCTTTTATATGTGTAAATTATATGCCAAATATATTTTTCTACTTAGTAAGTTATTCTAATTGGAAATTTTAAGTCAATGTTTTTAATTAATTTTGCAGGTATTCGTTGGAAATGTGCTGAATGTAGCAATTATGATCTTTGCTCCGTTTGTTATCATGGTGATAAGCATCACTTGCGTCACAGATTCTACCGCATTAGTGCACCTGGAGCCCAGCGATGTCTAGTTGAACCTCGGCGTAAAAGTAAAAAGAATGCTGTCCGAGGTATATTTCCTGGCGCAAGAGTTGTTAGAGGGGTAATTAATTTGCATTTAATATTAATTTTTAAAATTACAATTTTTATTTATAAAAATTGTAATTTTAAAATGTAATCTACATTTGGGCACTATATAGGTTTTCTAGAAATAAACTTAGTTAAGGTTTTTTAGAAGTAAGCTATTCTAAAATATGATAAAATTTTTGCTATAGAAATGTTAGTTGGAAGCTTAATTAAAAGATTAATCCACGAATATGTCTTAATCCTTAAAAAAATGTGTTTTAAAGGTTGATTGGCAATGGGAAGATCAAGATGGTGGAAATGGCAGACGTGGTAAGGTCAACGAGATCCAAGATTGGTCAGCAGCCAGTCCACGTTCTGCGGCGTATGTGGTATGGGATAATGGAGCTAAAAATTTATACAGAGTTGGTTTTGAGGGAATGGCAGATCTGAAGGTTGCGTAAATTATTTTATTGTTATTAAAATATTAAAAAAAAAATTAGACAAGAGTGATAAAGACTGTGTAATCTTGTCTTCAGGTAGTAAATGATGTAAAAGGTCAGAATGTTTACAAGGAACATTTGCCTCTTCTGGGAGAACTAGGCCCAGGCCGTACTGGGCCACATGGCTTGCAAGTTGGAGATCAGGTAAATATATTTTAGTTAATAATAGTATCTAGAATCTACTCAATAATAGTTTTCAGCATTAATAAAGAAGGAATTATTATCTTAGACAAAAAGAATTGTTAGGTAGATTCACTCGTAGAATAATAAACAATGTTTAAATATCATCATTGTTTATTATTATTTATAATTATTAATCTTAGCAATCTCTTGTCCTTTGTGCTTTCTGGTATTATAAAGTCATTTAATATTTTTAATTTGTTGCATAAGTTGTGTGTGTGTGTGAGATTTTCATTGTGTCCACCCAGTTGTGTATATTTTTGCGCAGAATATATTGATCTTGCCTGCTTTACCGCTTTGTGAATTTAATGGAAATGTCAGATTAATATCAAGCTATTAAGTATTTTCATCCTATGATTTTCAATTTGAAATGATTTGCAGGTGAATGTGGATTTAGATCTGGAGATAGTGCAATCGCTGCAGCATGGGCACGGTGGCTGGACGGATGGCATGTTCGAGTGTCTCAGCACGACCGGCACTGTTAGCGGTATTGACGAGGATCATGATATAGTGGTCTCGTATCCCAGTGGCAATCGTTGGACTTTCAATCCTGCTGTCTTGACTAAGGTAATTGATATTTATTCATGTTTAATATGGCAATTAGAAAATTCCAGAAGTATTTTATAGAGTTCTGAGTTTAAACAAAACAATTTAAAAGTAGTGTTATCTGCATATGCAGGTGTGCAGCGGTAACCTGAGTGCGTCGACGTCTGCAAGTGGCAGTGGTGCCGGAGCCGCGGGGGCCAGCAGCAGCTCGGGCGCCGCCTTCGCTGTGGGCGACCTGGTGGAGGTGTGCGCCGACCAGGAGCGCGTCAAGGCTCTGCAGCGCGGACACGGCGAGTGGGCCGAGGCTATGGCACCTGTACGTATCTACTGTTTAAACCCTTTTTTCAATAAATGACTAGCCACCATTTCCGCAGCAATGGTGTAACCCATTGCCATTGGTTTAGACGCGATTAGTATGCAATACGGTGGTTCGTCGCTTAATCGAAGAAGGGTTTAACATGTTTGCAATCCACCTTTTCTTCGCTCAGTTTAAAAACGAGAGATTTTTGATGATTATGGCACTTTTAATCTGTTCAAAAATGTTATACACTAGTAATAAAATTATAAACACTAAAAATACCAAAATTCAAAGTTCGTTAATATAATTAAAACATTTGTTACAGACCCTCGGTAAGATAGGACGCGTCCAACAGATTTATCACGACAACGATCTTAAAGTGGAGGTGTGCAACACCTCGTGGACTTACAACCCTAATGCTGTTACAAAAGTCTTCTCGTCCGATGGCAGCGTCCATGGAAATTCTTCTGGTACTAGTTTTTTTGATCTTAAACAGAAATTATATCTTACAATTTGCATAACATTTCAACATTGCAGCGTAATGGTCGCCATTGATGGAATTTAACGTTCCTGTAATAACATAATAAAGCATTTTTTTTTTGTAAATTTACTTATGCAAGTATTTAGAATAAATATCTTACGATGTTTATGTTTTAATATTAATATTGTAGGTGATCGTCTATCAGTGCTTTTGAAGAAACTGTTCGAGTCGCACGTGACGGGGGACGCTAACGAGGAGCTGGTGAAGGCGGCGGCCAACGGTGACGCGGCGCGCTGCGCTGACATACTGGCGCGCAGTGACGGCGCACGAGCTGACGTCAACGGCGTCTATGGAGGTCACACCGCGCTACAGGCAAGTTACAACATAAAGCACGACCACAGAGAACATACGTGTAGATTGAAAGTCATTCCTAGCTTTAGTATTATTAGGTGGCAAACGAGAAAGCGGCCATCTAAATTCACCGTTTTTTAAGTGTGTATTGAGGTATTCAGACATCTTAGCAGCTCAGACATACGTATGAGTGTGTGGAATACAATTTTAGGTGTAGCGTACAGATGACCTTGAGCCGTCAAAAAGATTGGAATTGCCCGTATTAGGAAAAAATCAACAGTAAATGTGTCCGTGGAAGCATTACTCTATGAATAGCTGCTACTCCCGTGTAATACCATGACCATACAGACTACGTCAGTCCACGTTTCGTCTAATGAATGTGCCAGAGTCAAAATTTTAGTCCCTTCCCTTCTGAGACCAAAATCTTTGAATAAAACATATCGTCACCCCAAACAAAACAGAGATAACAATGTGTTATAAATGGAGATTTCAATCTCAGAAACCCAAGATTTGAAACATTTGTGTTATAGTAGATGTCAAAAGAGTTATGGAGTGAGTAACTCATAGTGTAAAGCAGTCTTTCCCAAAGTGGGCGATAACGCCCCCTTGTGGGCGCTGCAGGTCTCAAGTTGCGGGTTATAGTAAAATTTTCGTTTAAAATTCTCCGTTAATATACATATATAGGTCACAATAATTTATTAATTTAATTTGAAGTTATAGTGGTTTTTAAATATCTGAAAATATGAGGGCGCTAAAAAAATATTTATTCTCAAAGTGGGCAGTAGACAAAATACGTTTGGGAACCACTGGTCTAAAGTTATTCAGAAATCAATTTTGTAGTTCTGTATTCGTTAGTTATAGATGTAATATTTACACAAATTAGAAACTTTTATTAGTCTTTAACCACTTTTATGAGAGAAAAATAACTCTAACGTGTACTATAATATTTATGCCTATGTTAATAGTTTACCGTCTATTAATGTTTATAGCAAACTCAACAAGCGCGGTAGTTCCACCTTGATAGGTACATAAAATTATAGAAACTTTGACCCGACAGTTACACGTTAATGGCATGTCATTAGTTCGTTCGTCATGTTAAATCTGATAAAAGGGCATATAATGATGTGCCACAAAAATAAGTAATCGACCCTCTTACAACTCGCTACTAATAAGTGCGTGTTTTGTTTTATTCTTCACGCAAACTCGATTTATTTTGTCGAGATATCGCACCTTTTTTTAGGTAAACCTACTATGTGTTAAGTTTTTTTAATGACTTATTAGTACGTTTTAATTTGTTACCTTTATAGTGGGTTTCCATGGACAAGATACTTTTATAAACATATTAAGTTTAAATACAATCTTTAAATGAATCTTGTTATGTTTGAACATAATAGATATAACAATCCTCTTTCGTATGCGTATTTTGATAATGGACATCAACTTTAAAATTTATTATAACTGGTATAGGACCAAAGGTTGTCATTGTAAATAATTTACGTGTAAACTTTATAATGTTCTTTTTGCCGAGAATAAACTTTTTACGATGATTTCACTAAAAGTAAAGTGTTCGAGGTATTTTTAACGCCCATCATGAATTTAAAAAGCAATAATTTTTTTACGCGACAACGTCATCGAATCCGCATCGTCAAAAAAGTCCGCTTTTAAAAGTCGATATTTAAAAGTGTAACAAAATACGTAAACTATAAAAAAGCGCTTTGGTGTGTTACAGTTTTTTGTATACTTGATGTTAATTCTAAAATAAAATGATTGCTTAGCAAGAAACATAATTATAACTAATGCAACTCCTACAAATAAGGCTAAGTTAGTCATTATATGACTTTACTCACATACCAATGATTTTCTGACACCAAAAACCTCTCTTAAAAGACATCGTTATATCTGTTTTGTCAAATATAATGACAGGGGTGACGATATGTTTTTTACAGAGAATTTGGTCTCAGAAACCAACGGTTAATTATATTAATACATTGCTAAAAATCTTCATCCGAAAGAACATGCAATGTAAATTTGAAAATATCTTAATTTTTTTTTTTAATTCTAAAAATAATCGTTTTGTTTCTTTATTTTACAAAGAGTAAGATAGTAAGGGTAGTGTTTAAGATGTAGCACCTTAAAGTTTTACGTGGCCTAGATTTAGCTCTGTGCGCAAAAAGAACTTCAAGGATGAAGTGTTATTTCAGAACACAAGTATTGCAACGTTTAAAAATTTAAAGAAGCCTTTTCCCTGCTAGGGTAATGGGAAGCTCTATGACCCTTTGTTGGGCTCAAGTGTTTTGTAAGTACGCGTGTGTACGTTGAACGGTGAAAATTATCGTTTAGTTAACGCGTTGCTTGCGAACAAAGTGATAATAAGTTTAGTTAAATGTACTGCAGTAGAGAAAATGGAGCAAACGTGCGGGAAATTATAAACTTTCTAACAATTTATTTTATTTTTACTTTATATAAGTGTTTACTTTCATTTCATTTGAAGCAAAAGGAATATAATATTTTTAAATGTGTTTCAGAGACGGCATGAAATATATATTTACTTACCTTTTAATATATTTTCTAGAAACATTCAAATAAGTTCATATATGTCCAAAAAATTATTCGAATCTTTAATATGTATACGATTATTAATTAAGTTGTTGATTTTTTTGCGTATGTATTTTTTTGTAAACATATTCGACTTTAGCATCAGACGGCGATGTTTTTTGTTAGCGATCACAGATATGTGGAATTCCGTGAGTCATTACCGCATCAAATTGCCTTTTTATTGCGTTTCGGCCGTAGCGCAGCGTAATCGCGCTCCGCCATTATTTTGATTATAATGTTCTTATCGCCAGTAAATGTGGTAAAATGCACGAAAATTTAAATTTTTAGGAGTAAAATGGTAATATGTTTGATAGCTCGCCTACGGTTATTTTAGGGGCAGGACGGGACATTAATTTGTTGACCGATATCAAATGATCGTAACATTATGTTTGAAACGAGAAATGGAGGCTACATGAATGACTACAAAAGCTCAAATATTGCCATAAAATTCTTTATTTAAAAGTGTGATTTATTGTTACGGTGGTAGAAAAATGTTTTTACGGATTGTCATGTTACATATGAGTAACTTTTGTATTTAATTATATATTTTCAACAATTAAAAAACTTGAAGCGCTAGTTTTCAAATTGATAGTCTCACCTCGATTCTTAAAACAAGAACAGTGAACAATCTTGACAAGTAAATTATTCTTAGTTATTTTAAAATCAATATGAAATTGTTAGAAACATGCAATTAGTTAATAAGTATCACTTTATTAAGTCGATCAAATTGCTTTTCTCTTTTAACGATGTTATATTTTCAACGAACGTGGATAATTGATACTTCGTGCAAATTTTAAAAAGCTGATCCGTAGAGCAATCATCTCTTTGTTTAATTTACTCATTCTCATTGTCCTTCCACGAATGAACATTCGATGTTCGTGATATTTTTACTAATAAGTTTTTGGATTTATTTCTTTCTATTTTATTTTAAACTTTTGATGAAATTATTAGCAACGAGCATTTTATTGTAGATATGAATCTATCGACGTATCTCATGCTCAAATGATTAAAACTTTGTGGAGTTAACTAGTTGATGGAGGAGAAGAAAGGGTTGGCTTTAATCTGAATCTTAATATGAAGAACGTTTAATTTGTTGATTAGGCGGCAGCACAAAATGGACACGTGGAAGTGATCCGAGCTCTAGTGGAGGCAGGCGCGGAGGCGGACGCAGAGGACCGCGATGGTGACCGCGCGGCGCATCATGCGGCCTTTGGCGACGAACCAGCCGCGCTGCGGGCGCTGGCCGCCGCCGGCGCCGATCTTAACGCCCGCAACCGTCGCCGCCAGACTCCCCTGCACATCGCAGTCAACAAAGGCCACCTCGGTGTCGTGCGGACATTGCTGCAGCTCGCCGTGCATCCCAGCCTGCAGGTATGTTGATCACTTACTGCCGCGCTCATAGTTTTCATTAATACAAGGGGCACTAAAATAGCCCCTTGGTCTAGATTTCACGGATTATTTATTCACTTAATAGTTCTGAGTGATACAAGCTAAATCCTATATGTTTATATGCTCTCAATATTCTTAAGTAACTTCTAAATGACAACTCATACTTAACTTTGTATCCCTTAATATAAAGAGAGCAGGAAAAGATAAGGCGTTGTAACAAATTACATTAGATTCTACAGCTTCAGTAAAGCAGATTGAGATGCCTAATATTATGAATAGCAATGATCTTTTAAATTACATTTTTTTTAATTTATCAATAATTAGATCGTGTATCATGAATGTTTCATATGTTAATCATTTGTTTTTTTTTTATCTTAATTACTAAGAGAGACAGAAATATATTAATTTCTCAAAGCAACAATATTTCATAATTCAAACAATGCTTATCATTTGAATCGAGCTAATATCAAAATCTGACAACGATGTAATGAGTCAGCTGTTTACTGTAGGAGGAAAAACTTCCCCTTTGCGAGGGAAAGAAAAGTAGGTAGTAAAGTTCGATTAAGGCCGGCGCGGAGTGGCGCTAGTGCAGCGCGGCCCCACTCCTTGAATTTCCTTTCCTTTTTGCCGACGACTCAGATATTTTTGTAGTCAACGTATATACGGGACGAAATATATTTAGCCGTAAGAGCTGTTATTTATGCTTATCATGAAATCTTGTTTACTGTTTTCCTATATACACTTTTCTGCCAAATAAAATCTTATTTGTTTTCTCCTCCATTAGACTAATACATACTATATTTTTTTACTACAAATCGTCATCTTATATGTAAAAATCAATTTCCTGTTCGTTAGTCTCGCTAAAACTCGAGAACGGCTGAACGGATTTATCTCATCTTAGTCTTGAAATGTAAATGGGTAAAATGGGTGGAAGTCAAGGGAAGGTTTAAAAGGTGAGAAAAATTCGAATAATTACCGGGAACTATTTAAGTTTTTTTTCATTCCACGCGGACGGAGTCGCGGGCGACAGCTAGTTGCTTATAAAACACTCGGAAAAATTGTAACAGAAAGAAGTCTACACTAAAGAAGTAAGGCCACATGCCTATTAATAAAATTAGAAACGAAAGGAAAATGTTTATGACGTCAAATCTTATTTCCTTTTATTTGTACTAGACATTCGCAACGTAATTATATCGGAAGAAATGTCTTCCATTTCTACAAACGTAGTACAGTTTTCTATTACACAAACCATTAGCAGCGTCTGTTTACTATTCCATAAAAACACTACGAACTTACAACATTTACGGAGCATTTTGAAACTAAGCTTTGTATTAGAAGTTTAAATTAAACGTCATTGATATTCTATTAGAGTTCAGACTTGTTATTTTAAGACAAAGAATATAAAATGATTAAAAAAAAAAATAATAAAAAAAACAGTAATAGTTTAAAAAAATTAAAATTGCTCACTGTTCCTAATTCACAAAAGATAATACGAGTCGAATGTGTCACTATATCGGAATATTTAAAATGCTGAAAATACAAATAAAAAAAGTCTAAATGCTCAATAATAGCTGCAGAAGTGTTATTGATATTTCTTAACGAAGCAGTACAAAGCTAAGTTTGAATCTCTGATTACTGGTACCTACTATTCAACGTTAAAACAAAATAAACAGGTTTCGTGTTACTCTATTATGCTTCCTTGTTTTACCAGTAATTACCTTAATTTAATATTACTCAAATCTTTGCAAATATTATTGAATTTGTCTAAGCTTTTGGTATATTATTTTTGCGGAATAATTTAACAGAAGCGTATCGTTAAAACATAAATTCTAATATACATTTTATTTATTTTTCTTATTTGCCAGTTTTGTTGAGAATCGGAGAAAATATTCTGAGTCGTGTACTACTTATCTACATTGATTAAATTAGCGACGGGTCAGTAAATTGTATTAGTTTTCTGGGTTGTTACCTGAGCTCGTCCCTTTACTTTCGGCAGCCTCATTTCGCTGTTGATTTTTACGAACCCTGTAAGGGAAGATAACATCAGGCACAGAGCAACCTTTGATTATAAGGCTTGCTAACTTTCGAGAGGATTCTGCATCAAGTTTTTTTATAGTTTTTATAAGGTTCTTTTTACGTTAAATTTAACTTTATAAACTATTTATTTTAATATTACTGTTAAATATGCAAGTCAAACAGTAGACTGTTGATCGTAGTGTAAACGGTGATAATTTTATCCCCTTGCAGTATTAAAAGGCTGTAGCACTTACTTGTACCTACGAACTTAAACTGTATCGTCGTACATTAGTCTATGATGGGAATGAAATTAAATGTATTGTTGTTTCAACGAAATTTAATTAATTTTACGGATTACGTTCCATTCCATTTTCCACCGTGTCGTACTGTCATCGAGTAGTCGACACTTGTAATAATTTAAATTGGATACAGTATAATCTTTAAAAGTAATTTTATTAAATAACATCAGAGTTACTACAAGAAATAATTATGTAGGTACTGTCTGTCTAAATAAATGTTACTTTCTACAGCATTGAATTCTCTGTTTTAAATAATCTTTGGCGCGCGTTGGCCTGATTACATTTGTATTTGTTTAGGCATTGATTACGATTCCTTTGATGTCCAATTGTTTTGAACTTATTTTGCTTAGCTGCGTCCTTACTGAATGTTTTAAAAAGCTAACGATGTCATTTGCAATAATTGTTGGTCTCATATTATTCAATTTAAATGTGTAAAAATACTATTGCAATTAAATAAATGTTCCAACAGTTTTTAAATGAATAGAAGAACACTCGAGAAAAGTAAAATATTTTCATAGAAGCTTTAACGTATAAGTTATGAAGCTTACCAAGTATAAACTTACATTAATGTTACTGTCTATTCCTACAAAGTTCTGTAAAATCTGCTTAAATACAATTTTTTTTTTCTGAAAATGACGTCATCTTTGACAATGACTTCAGGCCATAGTGATGACGCTCCCTCAAAAAAGTATTTCTCTAACTTTTTAATGATATGTTAAACAAAAAGAATAAAAATTGTACATTACAAAAGTGTACAATTTTTGCAAGTTTAAAGAGATAAATTTCCGTAACTTTATGTTTGCAGCTGGAGCTTGTGAAAAGCGTAACTTGACGTACGTGTATATTTACATTTTCACTTTTGCAAAGCCGTTGAATACGCGTCATAATGGTTGACGGCATTTCGCTATTACTTTCCTTTAGTTCTTGATTATGTAAAGGTTGTGGACTTATTTTCTTGTTCCTCAATGGTTATTATGAAATATACGTTTTATATTTATTCATTATATAAACTTGGTACAGTAATTAAAAAAGCCTCATTTAGTATCGTAAGCCGTTATTAAATTTGGTAAAAAACATGTACTTGTTTAAAATTAAGTACTTTATTGTCATGACAATAAGAACGTTTTTTGGGTATTAAAATTCTATGATATAAAATTTCTATGAAATGAAAATAATGTCTATGAAACGGTTTGCTTTACTTTAACAATAATAGGTAAACAGAGTACCTTATAAGTCCGTTTTCTTAGGTTTAAACTTTGGAACGGTAATCCGCTTTCGTTCGCAGAGAGCGCTTTTAGTGCGAGGTTTCTGTTTAGCTGATCCGAGGCTAAGCGAACTTTGTGAAGATACCTACTTGATCTTACTTAATTGGTTTAGTATAACGTTGTATTAATGAAAGTTAAACATTAATTAAAATCTTACCCTTTCCAACATACTACCTAGTCTAGAAGAATACTTTTAAAATGAAAATTCGATTTCAATTTAACAATACTTTTTCCGAAATAAATAATAGTTACTAAATTATAAATTCGCGCATCGCAATTTACTCCAAAAACAACTACGTTACAAAGGCTAAAATTCCATAACGTTATCGTTTTAATACTTTCATACTTAATATTTAAGTCTTTAAAATAATTAAAATTAATCTATTCAAAAGGTCTGATCGAATATTTATCGTTAGTTTTTTTTAGTACGGTGTGAGTTATTAAAGTTTTTTTCACTTATTGTAAGTGTTCACCGTTCGGCGCTCGTCCGCGTCGCTCGTTAGCGAACTGTAATTTTGCGAAAAAAATATAACGAGCCACGAGCTTTATTGCGCACTTTTAAACCATACTTTGTGTTGCTGCTCCACAGGTGGGTTTTACTATCAATACTGTGGTAAATAAAATGCTTTAAAAGTTAATGGAAATGTGAGATGCTATGTAGATTTATTTATTTTAAAATAAGGAAATCGCATATATGATTAGAAATTTATACTAAAGAACTACAAGTTAATAACTATAGAAGCTCTTTAATTATGAAATAACCACCTCATGTTACACGAAAGTAAAGATAAATAATGTTACTTAATACATCAAACTAAGTGAAGTATTTAATGAATGTTTTATTAAAAATACATAGAACCTATATTATTATTTTCAAGGGGAATTTGAATATAATTAACCACCTTGAAACTTAACGATATTACTAAGTATAGTTTATTTTGTATTGAAATGTTATTTTACTATGTCTCATGTCTTGAAGAGTTTATATTCTTATTTTCCTAACTCATTGCGATTATAATCTATGAAATGTCTATGGAATCGATGGAGCGATAGTCTAAAGCGATGTCAGAACAAGTCGGAGCAAGTTTGAGTACATTAAAGCAGCGGAGAGAGTCGTGATTGAGTTTCTTCATCTAATTTCAATCGAATTCACATAACTTTCCCGCAACGTCACTCGATTCATTACGGCGAGAACCACAGACTTACTTACGTTGCATCTTCCCCGGATTAATATGAAAACTTCAAGTTTCCGATTTGAATATCGATCAATTCAATTTATATTCCGTAGACAGATTTAACAATCATTTACCAATCACTATGTGCATGCGTCTAAATTATATAACAAAAACTAATACTAAATAGGCTATGTTTTTTTTTAACTCATAACTAACCTTCTCACGCA